GTAGTCGGAAGGGATTCCAAAAGACAGATGACTCCACACTAAAAGCCCAATTCCTACGTCATACAGAACGGACCTCCAGGTGAGATGGAGAGTGCCGTGATCAACTGAGTATATGAGGGGTGAGACAATATTTTAGGTACCTTGGTCCTAAGCTACATCAGGCTTACAGGTTAAGCACTCCTCCTAAGTAATCTTTAAATATATAATAGCCCCTCTACAGGAGTTTCAGCTTGGCAACTTCTTACATGAAGATTCTTTTAAAAACCGAAACATCCACCTCCCCTTCAAATGGTCTGGCAGTCGCTTAATTCAGTACTGCTGAAGAACAGCTCTCTCGTTGCAGAACTGCAAGCCTGAAGCATACTTGGATTGGATTTAATTTTTTAATAGCAAAATAGAGGGAGGCTTTCATACAGAGATCCACTTAAGGGAGGGAATGTTTGAGCAAACAGCAGTCAGATGTGCCTGGTGGCTGTTGCTAAGAACTGGGCATGTTTGCGCTTGTAAAAAGGCACCTGGTCTTTCACAGCCTACCTTCTCTCTCTTTCCCCCTCCCTTCCAATATTTTCTCAGTCCTCTGGATCTAATCTAAAGTTTATGAGGCTGGGCATGGCAGGAGGTCATTGTGCAAAAATGGCTTTTTAAATAGCCGGCAGGAATAGCTGGCCATTTATGGATCTGTTTGCTGCAAGTTGGCATTAGACAGCTAAATTATGCAAATGTATCCCCAGCAGAACCGAACATGCAAATTGCACACGACTTACAATATGATTAGGTTGTGTAAGTCAGTGTTTCCCAACCTTGTGCCTCCAGCTGTTTTTGAACTACAACTCCCATCATCCCTGACTAGCAAGACCAGTGGCAAGGGATGATGGGAATTGTAGTCCAAAAACAGCTGGAGGCACAAGGTTGGGAAACACTGGTTGAAGTTGCCCCCACTGAGGCAGTTCTGTTCCTTACTGCAAAACAATGCAATAAGAGGAAGGGGAGAAGAAAATGTATATAACTATTTTTGTGAGGTTTTTATTGTACAGTGGTACCTCAGGTTACACACGCTTCAGGTTACAGACTCCGCTAACCCAGAAATAGTACCTCGGGTTAAGAACTTTGCTTCAGGATGAGAACAGAAATCATGCTCCGGCGGCGCAGTGGCAGCAGGAGGCCCCATTAGCTAAAGTGGTACTTCAGGTTAAGAATAGTTTCAGGTTAAGAACTGACCTCCGGAACGAATTAAGTACGTAACCAGAGGTACTGCTGTAAAAAAATAATAATGGCATAGTAAACTTTCTCAGGCGATAGACTTCTTCGCCGGACACTGAGAAAAGTGAGGTGGGAAAAGTCAGTTAAAAGCTAACCAAGGGGGAAAAGGCATTCCAAAGTTCTTAATCACAGCAAGTTGCCTTATACCATTAGTCCATCTAGATCAATTTTCCCCACACTGATTGGCAGCAACACTCCAGGTTTCCCCAGCCCTACTTGGAGATCCTATGACAAGGCAGATGCTCTACCACTAAGCTATACCCCTTCCTTACCCTTTTAAATGGTCAAACTAGAATAATAATAATAATAATAATAATAATAATAATAATAATAATATATTATTTATACCCCGCCCATCTGGCTGGGTTTCCCCAGCCACTCTGGACGGCTTCCAACAGGACACTAAAATACAGTAACCTATTAAACATTAAAAGCTTTCCTAAACAGGGCTCCCTTCAGATGTCTTCTGAATGTCAGGTAGTTATTTGTCTCTTTGACATCTGGTGGGAGGGCGTTCCACAGGGCAGGTGCCACTACCAAGAAGGCCCTCTGTCTGGTTCCCTGTAACTTGCCTTCTTGCAGTGAGGGAACCGCCAGAAGGCCCTCGGCGCTGGACCTCAGTGTCCGGGCAGAATGATGGGGGTGGAGACGCTCCTTCAGGTATACTGGGCCGAGGCCGTTTAGGGCACCAACACTTTGAATTGTGCTCGGAAACACAAGGAACAGTATGGTGGGGTGTAGGGCAGAGATTGGTCCAAGGCTCCCTTGACCAACTACATTCATTCTGCAGCACCCCTGTGGGGCTCAGGAGCCCAGTTATGTCACCCCTTGCCTGCAGAGCTGGCAGCCTCTCACCCTTTTGCGAACACGCTCCCATGTGAAGTGTTCCCTCCGCTTCCCCTCTCCTTGGGAGTCCTCTCAGCAGCCACCCTTGGTCTCTGAGCTTCAGAGGAGGGAGAGAAGGAAAGGGACAGAGGCCAGTGTTGCCCGCGGCACCCCTGTCTATCATTCAAGGCACCCCAGGTTGCCACAGCACACTGGTTGAAAACCACTGGTGTAGGGTGCACCTGCTGCTGCTTCCTTTGCCCTGTTGCCTCTTCAGCTCCCATCACCTCCTTCTCCCAGTCTTCTCCCTTTTCTACCCCTGACCATTCATCGTCGTCCCACCACCAATCCCCTGGCTCTGAGCTGTCTTCCCTTGGGGGTTCCCCAGCAGCTGCACCTGCATGCTGCCAGCCCATGACAACTGGAATCTGAACTAGATAGGTCACTGGCCTGATCCAGCAGGGTTTTCTTATGTCCCTAAGTTGTTTTTCTGAACTCTGTATCGCATAATCTTTCAGCTCGGGCTACATCAGGCGAGATTGCTCAAGCCTTTGTCATAACATAAACACAGCTTATCATATTCCATTTTTATGGCATCTACTATACACAAAGAGGCTCGCTGCACACACAAGACTTGCACGCACAAGGTGCTTCTGTCAACCCGGTTCGCACTGTGTTGTACTTTTTGGGCGAAAAGCTGGATTTCTTATCCTTACCACCAAGTTTATTGCAGGGGTGCTAAACACACTGAGATCTGGTAACTTATTGTTTGAGTTTCCCAACCCTGGCCTTACATGGTTTGCGTAGAGTGTCCGGGGTGGTTGTAAAAACTCGCCTTGATATGAATAATGTTCTAGTGTAATGGCTGAACGATCTCAGCCGTTTCCCAATGCACTCTTTGCCCTTTCTCTAGCCACTGACCCTTGCACTGGTAACTTACTTGTGCGTGGAAAAGGAGAGAAGGGTTATCGCTTCAAGGGGGGTGTAGGAGAGAGGAAGAAAGAGGTCAGCAGAGAACTGTCATTTTCTGAGCACTGGGAAGAGGGAGTTCCCCTGTGATCCCCAAACAAAGTAGCCTGTTGCTGTAGACCAACATTGTGCCTGTCGCAAATACCAGCTGTGGAAACAGATCAGGGAGAAGTTCTTGCTATGACAAGTGGCCATTGCCATAGAATGAATAGGGGTGGGTGTGTTTCCTAACCCAACCTGTGCATTAATTGCTTGCTGCATGGTAACTATAACTTTGCACCTGCCAAGGACTCGGCTGGGCAGGGGGTGGCACACACTGAGCCTTCCGGTGTGCATGAGCCCTCTAGAGGACAGGAGAGTGCACTGCATTTGAAGTGAAACGGGATTAAGGATACGAGTCCTTGCATGTGTGTGTGTTAAGTGGAATCTTTGTGTAATAAAGAACAGTGAAAATTGTAAGCCATGGCCATGTGAATACCCAGTTGCATTCATGAGCCAGCAATATATCTATGCAGTGGTACCTCGGGTTACGTACTTAATTCATTTCAGAGGTCCGTTCTTAACCTGAAACTGTTCTTAACCTGAAGCACCACTTTAGCTAATGGGGCCTCCTGCTGCCGCCGCGCCACCAGAGCACGATTTCTGTTCTCATCCTGAAGCAAAGTTCTTATCCTGAAGCACTATTTCTGGGTTAGCGGAGTCTGTAACCTGAAGCGTGTGTAACCTGAAGCGTATGTAACCCGAGGTACCACTGTACAGTGGTACCTCAGGTTACATGCGCTTCAGGTTACAGACTCCGCTAACCCAGAAATATTACCTTCGGTTAAGAACTTTGCTTCAGGATGAGAACAGAAATCATGCAGTGGCAGCAGGAGGCCCCATTAGCTAAAGTGGTGCTTTAGGTTAAGAACAGTTTCAGGTTAAGAACAGACCTCCAGAACGAATTAAGTACTTAACCTGAGGTGCCACTGTATTTATTTTGCTCCATTTCCCATTCATTTCTAATCCCTAAGGCCATTTCCAGACTGTCACTGTTTTCGGACAGGACTCGATCCCATACTAGCAAATTCAAGTTGCACAATGAAATCTCTGGTGTAAAAAACCCACTTCCTCCTAAAAGCAGACTTTTTGCAATAAGGAAAGTGACAAGAAATGGCACGGAGAAGCATGGAACAATTACTGCTTTGATGCAACATCAACATGTAGGAGTGAATGCTCATCAAATAGCCATTGTCACCTAACTTCCCTCCCATCACATCAGGATGAATGCTCAATAAACATATTTTCTGGGAGTGCCCTGTATCTGTCTGTCTATCTAATTATGTCATTTCAAATTATGCTTTGCAAATCTTCGCCATTTGCAATCAATGTGACTCTTGTGAAATGGGGAAACCCAGCCAGATGGGAGGAGTATAAATAATAAAATTGTTGTTGTTGTTGTTGTTGTTAAGTCAAGTCCTTTAAGTGAACTTCACATATGGTTTGTGCCAGAAAAGTCTGAGTGAATTCAATAGGAATGTTCAGAAATATCTGGATTGTAAATTTTATGGTCCCTGTGTTTTGTATATAAAATGAAATTGCCTTTCATAAAGTCAAGGAGCTAGAACACACACATAAATCTCAGTTTCCTCTATTTCAGTTTTTCTCTTCTCTCCCATTATAAAGAGGAAACTAAACAAAATATAATGTAATCCTGTATCTGTCTACTCAGAAGTAAGCTCCAGTGAGGGTCCTGGGGCTTACTCTAGATTAGTGCAGGATTGCAGCCTTGGGGTGTTTTTGTTTTCCTCTAAGGGACAAATCATTGCACATCATAAATCAACAAAGCTTCATATAAGCCCATGGAGTTTCTCCCCTGCCACCAGTCCCATCTACTTTTGAAAAGAAAATGAAGTTCTTTGACTTAAACATAAATATTCAAAAAGCTTTCCCTCCTCCTTTCTAGGTAGTCATCTGATTTGGCAGCCCCCCCCCCCGTGAAAAATCTGAAGATGAACAAGCACATTAATCCAGTAAGTAGGCTGGTTTCTTATGTATTCGTGATGGACACTATTTGCATAAGTACAGAAAGATGCCTTGGTCATACATTTGCATGGTAGAGTCTTTATACAAAGAACACTTGTATGCACTCATGAAATGCGGAAATCGCCAGACATATCACCCCACTGACTTCTGTAGCATGGGGATTGAGATGCACATGTTGAGATCACCTGAGAATCAATTCATTCATTATCAGCTTTGGAGGACTCTTTTACCTGCCTCTTGTCCCTGATGCGCATGCATATATATATATATATATATATATATATATATATATATATATCAAAAAGAAAAAGAAAAAGAAATACATGAAATTGTAATACAATACAAAATATGAGTATATAAGTAATGCAGTTATGCAAACTAATGTAAAACTAGTAACACAGCTTTATATTTTTTAATAAATGCATTCCAAATATCATTGTATTTATCTATACACAATCTGCATCTAAAAGCAATCCGTTTGTCTATTGCAAGAGTTGTCATATATTCTATCCATTGATCAAAGGGTGCCATAATATTATCTTTCCAGCAAATCAATACCAGTCTTTTGCCAGAAGTTAGGGCGTGGAGAGTCTATCTATGCTGACCCACTATCAAACGATGTATTTAAGTGATCAACACCACTATCCCATTGCAGCTCTAAATGAGGAGGAATATACACTTCCTGGTTTAGTATCGATGCTGAACAAAACAGGTGAAGATTGTGCAACATTGACCTTCCTGATGTACGCCATTTCTAGTCATTTGTAGTCATCGAACGAAAATTCAGATTTATAGGTAGCAGTCATTGCCAGTGGTCATTGAGGCAGATAGGGTAGAAGACAGGGAGGTCACCAGTAGGTGGCGCCTGAGGAACAACAACTCCTCTTAATTTTGTCCCCTTCTCTCTGTTGAGTTCTACAAAGGTAGTGCTGAGACTGAGTAGGAGGAAGCTGACTAAAGAGGGGAAAGAAACTCAAGCAATGCTTTAGTTTAGTTTAGTTTAGTTTAGTTTAGTTTAGTTTAGTTAGTTTAGTTAGTTTAGTTAGTTTAGTTAGTTTAGTTTAGTTTAGTTTAGTTTAGTTTAGTTTTATATCACCCTTTATCCAAAGATCCCAAGTTGGCCTACAACATTAGGAACACAATGTTGGGAAACAAGCAACTTGTGGCCCCGGTTTCCTGTGAAGAACAAATTCACTTTCCCCGCCCAATGCTACTTTTGATTGCAGCCTGGTTCTATTGTTCCATAGCACTGAATGGAAGCCATTAAGAATTACACCTACTCATTTTTAAATAGCCCTGCCCATTTATTCATGTTCCATTTCTTGATTATGTCACAGTGTGACACAGGTATGCAACAAAGACACAGAACTCAGGAACGAATGGAACGCTAAGTACCAGGCAAGGGCACACCGACACAGCCACTTGTCCCATGCCAATCATAATAAGAAAACTTATAATGATAACACTGCCCATCTGACTGGGTTTTCCCACCACTCTGGGTGGCTTTCAACAGATATCAAAACATAATAAAAAAATTAAACCTTTAAAAAAACCTTCCCTCTACAGAGAAAGCACGGATCCGAGCCTTTGGACTAGATGATCCTCATGCTCCCTTCCAACTCTGCAATTCTATGAGTTTCCAATAACCATACTGCCTCCAACTGTGGAGGTAGATCATAGCCATCATGGTTGGGAGTTAAACCTTCTCTCTCCATCTGCATTGGCCCCGGTCCAGATACCACCACCCCCTTTTTTAAATGTATTTAAAAACTGTTGTTGCTGTAAATCAGGGGTCAGCAAACTTTTTCAGCCGTGGGCCGGTCTACTGTCCCTCAGGCCTTGTGGGGGGCCAGACTATATTTTGGAAAAAAATATGAACGCATTCCTATGCCCCACAAATAACCCAGAGAATTCATAGCTGTCAACTTTTCCCTTTTTAAAAAAAGGGAAATTCCCTTATTCCAAATAGGATTCCTCACAAGAAAAGGGGAAAGTTGATAGCTATGCCAGAGATCCATTTTAAATAAAAGCACACATTCTACTCATGTAAAAACACCAGGCAGGCCCCACAAATAACCCAGAGATGCATTTTAAATGAAAGGACACATTCTACTCATGTAAAAACACACTGATTCCCGGACTGTCCACGGGCTGGAATGAGAAGGCGATTGGGCTGGATCCAGCCCCCGGGCCTTAGTTTGCCTACCTACCCATGCTGTAAATGTTGCACTTAAAGAGGCATGTTTTGAGGAGAGACTTGAAGGAGGAGGGAGACATGGAAGGAGGCTGAGGGGCATACTAAGCAGTTGTCTGTGGGTGGAATTAGTTCTTGGGGTGGGCTCTTTGTTCTCCAACAACTTCCACTTTAAGAAAATAAATACCGAGAGGTGGGACACAAAGAGATTTGGAAAGTGACTAATACAATGTTCAGGAACATACGACCGAATTTGAAAGCAAAGAGACAATTAGCAAATGGAAATTAAAGACACTAAGTGCTCAAATAGAAAAAAAACACACACAGTACAGAATAGTGCTATTGAAAAGAACTGTAATTGCACAGGGAAGTTATTAGTGCCTAATATATTCCTGATTCAAAGTATCATCCCACAGACCACTTATTGCATGATTGCATTATCTTGTCTGTGTTTTCAAGTCGGCCTGATTCAAATTAAAAGGAATAAATCAGGAACAGAGGCTTCCCTGCTGGGAAGTGGAAAGTAGTCTTCTAGACTCTAAGGGGCCTTCTCTTTTAATTAAATGGGAAAGGAAGGGCTGTGCATAACCGAAGCAATTACAGTGTGCTGGTCCTGTGGGCTAACCGAGAGGCGAGGTCCGAGTCCAGTCCGAGGTCAATGGTGCGGTATGGAGGCTGTCCGTCAAAGCTGTAGCTGGGTCCAAGGCGGGGAGTCGGGTGGGATCAGGAACTCTGGCAGAAGAGCAGGACAGGGTGCAGGCAGGAACAGGCTAGCAACAACATTGCTCCTGCAACCTGGGACTGGGGCTGACTGGCTTTTATCTGCCCCGAGGCATAGGGCGGCCCCGATCCTCTGGTGACTCACCTCTCCTGGCCTGGAGGCGAGCACTCCTCCTAAGGGAACTTAGTTCCCTCCGCCTCTCTGCCCTGAGCCTCTGCAGCTCAGGAGATGCTGGAGGGTTACCAGACCCAGAGGCAACCTGCTCTTCCCCTGACAGGGCTGAGAGTGGAGCACCTGCAGGCAATGGGTCCTCCATCACCTCAGGGGCCAGAGCAGACTCAGCTGGTGCCTGCACCCAAGGATCCAGCACAGGTGAGGACCCTTCAGGCTCAGGCCCCAGCCCCGGCTCAGCTGGTTCTGGAGGCGGGGACTCCTGTGCAGGCTGGGATTCCTCAGGTTCAACCTCTGAGTCCAAATCCCAGGCCATCACATACAGACAAAAACCTCTACAGCCCAATATGTTGCAAAAAGCTGTGTTTGCTCAGTGGGTTGTGTCACCAGTGCACACACCCCTTGTTGTCTTGGTGGTGCCTGGTATTTGTGGGGAATGGTCATGCCCGATTTTCTAACTACACACGATTCGGGAACTCTAGCCCATTCTGTTGTTTTTGCTTATGAAGCACCCGAATGCCACCCAGGTCCAATGAAATCTAAAATGGCAGCCCTGCTTGCAGGGATTGTTTGCGAAGACTTGCCCAGCAGAAACCCGAGTTCCTGTCTTCTGTGTCTGTGAGCAAAGGGAAGGGAAGGGAAAGGAAGACAGTGGAAGGAAAGGAGCAGAAGAATCAAATCAACTGCCCTTGCACATATTGAGTAGAACGTAGATTCCACATGCCTCAAACGTTGTGGCACCTACCAGATACCACATGCAACATCATTGGCAATGAACACTATACAACTTTTTCCTACTCACCTCCACTTTCCTAGGGGTACACCATATTGTTTTTAAAAATGTGTGTTTGTGTGTGTTGTATCTGGATAAGGCTTAATGGGGGGGTCATAACAGTTTTGGGAGAAGGTGGTTCTCATCTGGAAAATGGTAAGAAGAAAAGAGTTAAGCCACTCTTCCCAGTGCCATGGTTCTGATCCAAATGCAGAGAGACACTGAGGGTCTGTTCTTCTACAAAAAATAAAGAGATATCAGATGAGAGCATGGATTTCCATGAGCTCATTATGTCAGCTCATGGCAAAGGGAGAAGAATGCCTCTCTGGTCTTCAGACACCTTTCCTGAAAGCATTGGATTCAGTTGTGGATATCAGTCCAGAATCTTTCACAGATGCAAGGGATTAATTAAGCTTCTCTACAATCCCTTGTGACTTGTTAATGTTAGGGGAGGGAGTAAGGTACTTGCTTGATCAGTATTTCAGAAAAAAGAAAATTGAACTTTCTCTAAGTGCTACGAGGAAAATGTGAGACAGTTCATAAATTAACTGTGGCTTGCTGATGACTGCCTTGGAAGAGAGGAGAGAATAGCTAAGGGGAACCAAAGCTGTAGTTGTTATCAACAAATTTATATAGTAAGTGCAAAATAAAGAACAAATCTAATTCAGAGGCCTTTGCCAAAGTACTCCAAATTCTACACCAGTCAATAAATTCCATTTAGACTTCCATGTAAGTATAATCATTCAGCTTTATATCAATTTTAATGGTCTCCAAAGATACACCCTTGGGCTTGGAGCCCAACTACCCCTTATGAATGAAAGAGTTCCTCCTGCTTTTGAGAAGAGACTGGGATACAGAGAAGACACCTGCTAGAAGTGCAGCAATAAAACTGTTAGCACATTTGCAAAGCTAAGCAGGTTCTGGTATGGTTTCAGATAGGATGGGAGACCATGCATTGAGATTCCTGCACTGCAGGGGGTTGGGTGAGACCTCAGGGTCCCTTGCAACAATACAGTTCTATGGTTCTAGAGTGGGGTGGCCTTTTTCACCCATCTCTGCTTTTCTCCAGCAACCACCTGGACCACCTCTCATAAGAACCTACGGGAATGCTTCTATACCAAGTCAGGCCTTTGGCCTACCTGGCTCGATATTGTCCACACTGACTGGCAGTGGGTGGCTTTCCAGGATTTCAGGCAAAGAACATTCACTGGAGATGCCAGGGATTGAAGCTGGGACCTTTTGCATGCAAAACAGAAGCTCCTTTCCCCTTTTATCCTGCTCCAAAGGATCCCACTCTAGCAGAATTTTTAGGTGCAAAGAGGGTTCAGGTGTGACGGGATGTAAAAAAAGACAAACTCTCGTTTCACTAGTAGAAACATCCCTTAATGCAACTCTGCTCATGGGACACACTCAGCAGTTTCCATTCATATTATTATTATTATTAAATTGATATACCACCCTTCATCTGAAGATCTCAGTGTGGTTCATAGGAGTAATACGCAGTTTAGAAATTAACCAATGAACTATTTTGCTCATTTAAAAAAAATAACAACGTTTGCCTTCCTACAAGAAAATGGATTGTTGATGACTAATAAAGTTGGTCAGTGCATTTAACCTGGTCTTTGAGCCTCTCTAATTCAGCCCTGGAGTCTCCTAATATCTGGCTGGATTTGATGGTATTGAACAGAATCTTCCACCTTCATTTTCTAGAGCTAGCGATTCTGTCTAAAACACAAGCATTATGAATTGTTGGGGGACACCTGGGTGTGTGAAAACGATTCATTGGCCAAAAACATTGTAAAATGAATGTGTGCCATCAAGAAACTTTAGTAAATGTAGCTGGTTGTTTTATTATTATTATTATTATTATTATTATTATTATTATTATTATTATTATTTCCTAGTGAGCTTTCCTTCCTTCCTGGAGGTGGTGGAAGAGGAAAAGGAGGAAGGTGAGGCCAACTTGAGGCTAGAGATGTCACCATCAGGTGCACTGATTCTGCTGCTTGCTCTAAACACATGGCTTGTTAACGGTGAGCATTCAAAACATCCTTTACCTTTTCAAAATTTAAAATCGGGAAAGCATCCTTGGGGATCCTGCCATCTTCCATTCTGTGGCCATGGCCAAGCCAGCGTAAACATCATGTGGGCTTGGGAGAGCACATATTTGTTGGAAACGCCATCCTGCCATGTGATGCCCAAAAATTTCTTCATCCAGCACATGTGGAAGATGTTGGTGCATCACTCCTGGTGGTTCTAAGTTGCCCATGATTCACTTCCATAAAGTGGTTAAGAGCAGTAGACTTGTAATCTGGTGAACTGGGTTTGCTTCCCCGCTCCTCCACATGCAGCTGCTGGGTGACCTTGGGCTAGTCACACTTCTCTGAAGTCTCTCAGCCCCACTCACCTCACAGAGTGTTTGTTGTAGGGGAGGAAGGGAAAGGAGAATGTTAGCCGCTTTGAGACTCCTTCGGGTAGTGATAAAGCGGGATATCAAATCCAAACTCTTCTTCTTCTTGGTATTGGACATTAGCATCACATTCTCCCATGTCGTTTTGGAGAGGCTAACCTCCCCAAGTCCTGACAAAAATAGTTAATGTAACCTTACTTCAGGTAGAGCCAACAAGCTGGCTTGACACCAACAACTCCCCTCAATGGTCAGAGATGCTGGGAGTTCTGATCAACAACATCAGGAGGGCCCCACATTGGCTGTCCCTGATATGCATGTGAATAACCATTTCACAATCTACCAATGGAATTAGACAAAATTATGTAACTGACATACCCAGCAGTATTATGTAAGTCATTACATATAGACTGGCTCTCTCCTTGTTGCCCTTCTGCCAACTGGGGAAGGACTTCCTTGTTCAAACAGGCTTTTGGGAACTGACTGTTTTTAATGAAAGGGCTGGTGCCATGATGGATGAGCCATGTATTTTAATAGAACACATTTGTTGTTGTTTAGTCCTTTAGTCGTGTCCTCCTCTTCGTGACCCCGTGGACCAGAGCACGCCAGGCACCACTGTCTTCCACTGCCTCCTGCAGTTTGGTCAAACTCATGCTGGTAGCTTCGAGAACACTGTCCAACCATCTCATCCTCTGTTGTCCCCTTCTCCTTGTGCCCTCCATCTTTCCCAGCATCAGTGTCTTCTCCAGGGAGTCTTCTCTTCTCATGAGGTGGCCAAAGTATTGGAGCCTCAGCTTCAGGATCTGTCCTTCCAGTGAGCACTCAGGGCTGATTTCCTTCAGAATGGATGCGTTTGATCTTCTTGCAGTCCATGGGACTCTCAAGAGTCTCCCCCAGCACCATAATTCAAAAGCATCAATTCTTCGGCCATCAGCCTTCCATATGTTCTATTAATGTTTAACTGCTTCTTAATGATTGCTTTTTCTATGTTTTAGCTGTATGCCACCTTGAGTCCCTGTCAGGGGGAAAGGCAGAATATAAATTAAAAAAAAATATTTTATGGGTGAAGACTCACTTCTAACAATCTATCATTTGGGGGCTTGTCTAGTAAATATGAGCCTTGTCTGCTGTGATAGAGTTAAATCCCCAATAACCACTTTCCTGTTCCTGCAGTGTGCCTTGTAAGAGCCCTAATGGATGACTTAAAAGGCCCATCTGATCCAGCATTTTGTTTTCTGATGTGGCCACAACCAGATGCCTCTGAGTGGCCTACAAGCAGGGTGCGACCGCTTTAGCCCTCTCTGATACCTGACATTTGGTGGGTGGCTCTTGGGGGTTGCAGTGGTAGCCCTGAGATATGGCAAGCTATTCAAGAAGAAGAAGAAGAAGAAGAGAAGAGTTTGGATTTGATATCCCGCCTTTCACTCCCCTTCAGGAGTCTCAAAGCGGCTAACATTCTCCTTTCCCTTCCTCCCCCACAACAAACACTCTGTGAGGTGAGTGGGGCTGAGAGACTTCAAAGAAGTGTGACTGGCCCAAGGTCACCCAGCAGCTGCATGTGGAGGAGCGGGGACGTGAACCTGGTTCACCAGATTACGAGTCTACCGCTCTTAACCACTACACCACACTGGCTCTCACCACCCAGTGAGCTTTAACTTGAGTCTTTCTGATGTGCACTCAGTTCTTTGACCACAATACTGCACTGCAATGGTTCTCTCCAAAAGCAGAGGGAGGAAAATAGAGCCTCAGAACCACCATCGCTGTCGAAAATAGACTTAAACCACGACTCTAGGCCCTTATCTGCTCAGAGCCCCTGTGATGATAATTTAATTTGTGATTGCATTTCCTCAGGTCAGTCACTGCCTGGAAAGCCTACAGTAAGGAGTTGCCGAACTTCAGGAAATGAAACATTTACTTGCTGGTGGAAAGCTGACTCAGATGGTGGACTTCCTACAAATTACACTCTGCTGTACAGCACAGAAGGGTAGGGAAATGTTTGGGTTGTTTTTTTAAGGCATTTGTTGTTCCTTGCACAGATTCAAGAGAGGAAGACAACACATTCCCAGTTACAAGGTGAAGTGATGAGTAACTGTACCACCTTCTTCCCTCTGAGAAATTTATTGAGGTTCCGGGGTTAATCTGTTTTCCAAGAACTGCAAATAATGCATGTTTTCACATAAGAGTTTTGCTGGAATCCCACTGCTTTAGGTGCAATAAAGGGTGTCCTCAGCTTGAATTGAGATACGACTTGCCCTTTTCCATACTACTTTCAGCCAACCAAAGACATGCTGTGTAGCCAATTACAGCTCCTTGACAAACATATTGGTACATATTCAGAAAAGGGCAAAGGTAATTATCAAGGGGCTGGAGCAACTTGCCAATGGAAAGCTTTGGAGCTTTTAGTTTAGAGGAAAATGTGAGTAAGGGGGCATGATAGAGGTGCATAAAATTATGCCACATAATTTGGTATTTAAGCCACTTCATATTTGGTCACTTTTCTTTGGCTCCTTCAGATGCCCTCCCTCAAAAAACCAAACATGGTTCAGTCACAGGTATATCTTTAGCCACTCCTGCAATGAAGACCAATGCATATTTATTTTCTGCATATTTGTTAAGAAGCCTAGGGTACAGTTTACTGTTCTTATTTAACAAAATTGTATATACCACTTAATTAACGCCCCCCCACCCTATGCCCCATGATAGACTCCCAATTCAGATTGTGTAATTTACCTTTTTTTAAGCCATTCATGCAACTGCCAACATTTCGCACCAAACCCAAGGGAAGGACAGCTATTGCCTTTGTGCTCTCCTTCTGGGTTTTCTGAAAGAACCTGTCTGGCTATTGTCCAATAGACTAAACCTAGACAAGCATCTCCCGGAAGGGCATTTGGTTTGATCCGGTATGGCTCTTAGGTTTTTGTAAAATTAATCCCCACTGACTCCAGGTTATGCATTTGCAATGGTGAGTTTATTAAGCTGAATCTGACTAGTGAGTTGAGTATTTGCATTTGTTCTTACTTGTTCTGTTGAGTGTGGACAGGTCCCTATTAACTACTATTTTAAATTATTTTATTTCAGAGGAAAGCATGCCTTTGAATGTCCAGACTATACAACCGGGGGCCCCAGTTCATGTTATTTTGATAAGAGCGTCACCAGACTTTGGAAAACGTACAATATCACAGTGAAGGCTACCAATGGCATGGGAAGTAATGTCTCCGACCCTCATTATGTGGATCTTCAAACCCTAGGTAAGGGGGGAGGGCAGGAAGCCACATGGAACCACAACTTTCTACTCTACTCTAAAGCAACACTTTGGGGCAGGGGGTGGATGGGGACTGACTGATTCATCAGTACCATGATTTTTTCAAACACTGTCCAAACCTAGAGGCCAAAGGTGTTTTGAGGAAATGCAATATTGAAACAAGTTAGTTGTTAGTTTAGTTTAACATCAGAAGAGGGAAGACTATGGGACCTAGATGATTTCCTGATCTAGAACTAATTCAGTGTGTCAGATAGGGTAGATAATTCATATCTTCTAAGTCCCAAGTTTGGTTCCTGACCTCTTTGGCTAAAAAGCCTGTTGGAAATCAGTGCAGGGCAAGATCTCAGTCTGAAATTCTGGAGATCTCTTGCCATTCAAGATAGAAAGTACTAGGGATGGGGAAAGAAGTTCAGCCCAGACACTGAGGTCCAGCTCATAGGGCCTCTGGGAGATTTCCTCATTGCAAGAGGTGAAACCAGGGGGAGGGCAGCCTCAGTAGTTATGCCCGCCATGTGAAACACCCTCCCACCAGATGTCAAAGAAATAAACAAATATATGACCTTCTGTAGACATCTGAAGGCAGCCCTGTTTTAGGAAGCTTTTAGTGTTTAATGTTCCAATGAGTTCCTTTATATTCTGTTGGAAGCCGCTCAGAGTGGCTGGGGCAACCCAGTCAGATGGGTGGGCTACATGAAATAAATCACCACCATCATCATTCACTTCACGTTTAAAGCCAAATTCACACTTCCTGAAACAAGGAAAGAACCGAAACACAGCCATCCTTTTAAATTCACCCTTCTCTGAATTTTGCAATGCAGCCATGTTTTATACACATACACACGAGAGAGAGAGAGAGAGAGAGAGAGCATTGTATTAGGGGATATTGCTTTGGAAATGTGCGTTATTAGGCAAAATTGCATGCTAAATGGTACATTAGGAGAAATTGGCACTAAAATCCAATGAATTTTCATGAGGACTTTTAAGAACAAACAAACCACAAACTGATGGTGGAGAACCAAAACTTAATGGAAAAATCAGAAAACAGAGAGAAACCAAAAGTGACATATTTTTCCCATCTCTAGATAGTACTGGCCTAGACAAACTATTGATCTAACTCAGGAAAGGTTAACCAGCTGTTGTTGGACTCCAATCCCATCTTCCCTGACCACTGGCCATTCTGGCTGGGGCTTTTCAGAGTTGGAGTTCAATGCCTGTAGCTCAGTATGCAGCAGCTCCTTGTACATATTCTTCCTGTTGTCTTTTGATTTGATTCTATTAGTTCACATACAGAGTAGCCAAAAGAGGTGTCCTAGGCAGAAGCAGCAAACAATACTGACTTATGAATGTTTCCTTTGTATAGCTAAGGTCGGCCCTCCCACAGACCTGTCTCTGGAAGTCAAACAGCTGAAAGAGAGAACGTATGTGTGGGCAAAATGGTGGCCGCCTCGATCGGTTGATGATGGAACAAGACAGCAAATATGCAACTATGAATTGCGATTGAGACCTACAGGAGAGAAAGAATGGGAGGTAAGCAAGTTCCATTCTTTCATTCACAAGCATCTTATAATAGGAGAAAGGCAGATGCTGTTGCTGTTCCCTTATTTACAAAGGAGGCCCTGAAACACAGTGGCTAGTGGAAGTATGCCATAGGCAAAGCAAGACTTTAAAAACCGCCATGTACATTTAATTACACCCATCAAGTTTATCCAGATGCACCGAACTGACTTTATTTTGGACATCTTCGATCCAAACTCTCCAGATATACCATTTGTTGTGCTATAGCTGTGATTTTTCTGGATCTTTACACATGGCTTCCTCCGCCTCCTCAGCAGTGAGGGGGTCCCGGCCCTCTTCCAACAGATTTTTAGGGGGTCAAAGAAACCTCGGCCCCATAGAGCTGGTACCCCTGATCTGACTGTGTATATATAACAGTCTGACTGTGTACTTGTGTCTATAACAGCTTTCCTGTATTCTGTGTTCCAATCTGGCCTGCTGTAAGGTAGCTTCTCGGTGTTCCTAGGATATGTATTTGCATATGGATCTGTTTGATTGCAGCTGGGGTTCTGTTTCCAGGATGGATAAAATAAAGGGAATAAATCAGGTGTTCTTGCCAGCACCAGAAAGTGACTCAGGCATCATGAAAGGAATATGTGGAAGTAGTTATGATTAATATGTTAGGCGCAGAGAGAGCTAGGGAACAGGAGGCCACCCTTCATTCCAAAGCTTCCTCCGGAGAACTGTTTAGATTAATGAGCACTGCAAAGCTATATTTGTCATGCTGGCAATAAGAAAGAATAATGTCCATTAGACTGGGAGCGCTGAAATGTGCTCCAAAAGTAATAGAATCAGAGAATTGTAGAGTTGGAAGGGACCCCAAAGCTCATCTAATCCAACCCCCTGCGATGCAGGAATCTCAACTCAAGCATCCATCACAGATGGCCATCCGATCTCTGCTTAAAAACCTGCAAGGAAGGAGAGCCCACCATCTTCTGAGGGAGTCCATTCTACTGTTGGGCGGCTCTTACAGTCAGAAAGTTATTCCTGATGTTTAGTCAGAGTCTCCGTTCTTGTAACTTGAATCCATTGGTTCTGGTCCTAGAATCTGGAACAAGAGAAAACAAACTTGCCCCATCTTCAATGCCCTTTAGATACAGTGGTGCCTCGCAAGACGAAAAGAATCCGTTCCGCGAGTCTCTTCGTCTTGCGGTTTTTTTCGTCTTGCGAAGCAAGCCCATTAGCGGATTAGCGCTATTAGTGGCTTAGCAGGCTTAGCGGATCAGCTGATAAGCGGCTTAGCGGCTTAGTGGATCAGCTGTTAAGCGGCTTAGCGGATCAGCTGATAAGCGGCTTAGCGATCAGCTGTTAAGCGGTTTAGCGGCTTAGCGGATCAGCTGATAAGCGGCTTAGCGGCTTGGGGAAAAGGGGGGGGGAGAAAAAAACCCTGCAGGAACTCGCAAGACATTTTCGTCTTGCAAAGCAAGCCCATAGGAAATTCATTTTGCGAAGCACCTCCAAAACGGAAAACCGTTTCGTCTAGCGGGTTTTCCGTCTTGCGAGGCATTCGTCTTGCAGGGCACCACTGTATTCGAAGATGGCTATCGTATCTTTTCTCAGTAAAGTACAGTGGTACCTCAGGTTAAGTACTTAATTCGTTCTGGAGGTCCGTACTTAACCTAAAACTGTTCTTAACCTGAAGCACCACTTTAGCTAATGGGGCCTCCTGCTGCCGCCGCGCCGCCGGAGCATGATTTTTGTTCTCATCCTGAAGCAAAGTTCTTAACCTGAAGCACTATATCTGGGTTAGCGGAGTCTGCAACCTGAAGCGTATGTAACCTGAAGCGTATGTAACCTAAGGTACCACTGTAAAATGTAAGCAGGGACACTGAAGCAAGTTAAATGGTACTGCAGAGATACCGGCCATCAGTTCATTGTGAGATGGGTGCAAATGTTCCTCTCAGGAAAAGTACCCAGTGGTCACCAGAAAATTGTGCATACAGTGGTACCTCCGGTTGCGAACGGGATCCGTTCTGGAGGTCCGGCCACATCCTGAGGAATTCACAACCGGAGGTGCCGCTTCTGTGCATGCGCTTGGCGCGTAGAGCACTTCTGCGCATGCGCACACGGTGAAACCCAGAAAAATACTTCTGGGTTTGCCACGTTTGCATCCTGAAAGATACACAACCAGAGGTGGGCGTATCTAGAGGTACCGCTGTATTTGTATTTTGAATTGTATTTGTATTTGAATTTAATGCTTATATGGGGAGCACCTCTTTAGATCGCAATGTTGGTTTTCACAGGTAACAGCCTATGTTCTTGACTTAATAAATCCTTCTGTGAATACACTGCATGTTGTCCATTTGGCCTGATCATTTCTATGTCACTTTTCTGGTGCAAGAAAAGCCACAAAGGCAAAAACTTAGCATTATATCCAAACCTAGGATCATGGTTTGCTTTCACCTGACAAACCATGGTTGCTCATCAGTCATGATTTTTTTAGGGTAAAAAAAACTCATAATTTTTTTCTTCACATTTTATACTAAGGATTTGTTTCTTGGTTTGTTTACTCATTCATGCCAGGGCAGGGAGCAATCAAGCTGCAAGTGCACCAGCACCTAAAAAAAAGTATGGTCTGATGATCCAATAACCTTGGCTTGCCATTTTGCGAGAATACACACAATGTATATTTATTTCGCTTACTGCTTTTTGTGGGGGGCGGCTCCTCATTTTGCTCAGTTGAGCCCTGGATGTGCGCCCCAAAGACCTGTCCTGATGGCACCAGGGGAAATCGTGGTCCTTAAAATGGGTTTACAGCTCATGGATCCAAGCAAAACAAATCACACCAGTCATGATAAACCTCCTTGACAAGCCATAATACATGATATCTGTGGGCTGGTTTGGAAAGGTCACACATTGCACAGGCTTCATCCTTGATGTATTTTATTTATTTACACTATGTATTCCCTCCATCCTGTTCTTCAGTCTTAAAAAGACTAGGACTTCTTGGAGTCACAGATGTTGCAGTGCCAACTGCCCAGTGTGCCAAAGATTCCTGCTTGTATAGAGGCATCCTTGCAAAACCCGTATGCTCTACAATTCTCTTAGTTTCCCTTGTCTTTACTGCTTCCCAGACTCGTTTTGTTGGAGAGCAAACACAGTATGAAATATCCCAGCTGCACCCAGCAGTGAAATATACTTTTCAGGTTCGCTGTATAACAGAACATAGTGAAAGGAGTGAATGGAGCCCGGAAACTTACCTTCAGCTCCACAGTGGTGAGTCAATCATTCATCATTTTTTTCTGTTTTGAATGGCCAATTAAGCTAGTAAGAACATAAGAAGAACCCTCCTGGATCAGAGCAATGTCCCATCTAGTCCAGAGCCCTGTTCTCACAGCCACCAACCAGATGCCCATTGTGAGAAGCCTGCAAAGCAGAACTTGAGAGCAACAACTCTCTCCCTGCTTGCAGTTCGCAGAGGCAGAACTAGAATCAAATGTGTTAGGAGTAGATTTCAGCTAAGCACTAGGCAACTTCCTAATGGTAACAGCTGGTAGACAGTGAAACAGACTGCCTTAGCAGATGGTGGGCTCTCCATCATAGCAGGTGTTGAAGCAGATTCTGGACATCCATCTGTTGGGGTTTCCCCTAGTTGCATCCTGCATTGTAGGTCCTGAATTAGCAGGACGTTGGACCGAATGACCTCTGTGACCCCTTTGTGACTCTGACCCTATTGGCCTAAAGGACTTGTCTATCTCTTTCTTTCCAGGCCAACCTCCTGGGAAACCAGAGTTAATAAGATGTCGCTCACCTGAGAAAGAAACCTTTACTTGCTGGTGGAAGCCCAGTTCCGATGGAGGTCTGCCGAGCAATTACACTCTGTTCTATAACAAGGAAGGGTAAGGCGTTACAAATGGCTTGACGGTTGTTTCAACCTGCTTCTCTGAGAGAAGGTGGATTCTATTCTAAGTGATGTGTAATGAGAATGCATTTCCTTCTCAATCTTTCCTGCCAACCATTCTGTTTTTCAGAGACAAGGCATACTATGAATGCCCGGACTACACAACAGCGGGACCCAACTCCTGTCATTTTGATAAAAAACATACTTCGCTTTGGATGACATACAACTTTACCATAACAGAGACTAATGAGATGGGGAGTATTTCATCTCAGCCATATTATGTGGATGTGGCTAATATAGGTATGTGGTGCAAGCATAAATGTGCAAGGCAGACCTGGGGCAGGGGGCGGAATCCCAGCAGTCCTAAGAGTTGAACCAGAATTCTATATGCATCTTATATACCATCAGCTAAATATGACCAGTCATGTGTCTTGATAAGGGATAGGTAAAGGTAAAGGTACCCCTGCCCGTACGGGCCAGTCTTGACAGACTCTAGGGTTGTGCGCCCATCTCACTCTATAGGCCGGGGGCCAGCGCTGTCCGGAGACACTTCTGGGTCACGTGGCCAGCGTGACATCACTGCTCTGGCGAGCCAGAGCCGCACACGGAAACGCCGTTTACCTTCCCGCTAGTAAGCGGTCCCTATTTATCTACTTGCACCCGGGGGTGCTTTCGAACTGCTAGGTTGGCAGGCGCTGGGACCGAACAACAGGAGTGCACCCCGCCGCGGGGATTCGAACCGCCGACCTTTCGATCGGCAAGCCCTAGGCGCTGAGGCTTTTACCCACAGCGCCACCCGCGTCCCCTTGATAAGGGATAGGGGAGAATATTTGTTTGCATTTTAATGAGAAACTATCCAGTTTGCCCTTCGTAAACTGAAACGCACAGCTATGCTTTGAAATTTGCACTTCTGTGAATTTTGCAATGCATTTCTCCGACAAAGCAAAAGTGCAAATACTAGGCAAAAGTGAGCATAAAAATATACCTATTGAGTAAGAAACAAACAAACATAAAATACATGTGCTGGTTGTCAGGGGACTGCCATTGGAACAGGGAAGAAAGGCAGAGGGGCAGTTGGGATACAGGGAACCTCCGAAAATTCTGAGAAGCAGTTCCTCTTCCTCCGGTGGGGAAGAGGGGAAGGGACCAGAGGATGCTGCTGGGAGCCCCAGCGCAGCACATTGTCAGTCTAAGGGTGGGGAAAGCCACACCTCCTGGGTAAAGGAGAGGAAAGGGCTAGAGGATGCTGCTGGGAGCCTCTTGGCCAAGCCAGCCAGGAGGGAAGCACGCCTCTTCCGTCGCCCACCTTGCGCAGAGGTGTAAAACGCAAAGAAGGAAGGAAAAGGCTGGGGGTGACTAAGCTCTTATGTTGGGGGAGGGCCCGGAAGGGACCCCTCCCGGATTCTGCTAGCGACTGAGGCAGACATGAGCTTGTGGTTCTGCACACTAAATAAAACCTGTAAAAGACAGGTCGGAGTCCTGGCTGGTTACTCACGAGCAACCACCATTGCCATCTGACACTAGTGAAAATAGTATACAAAAATGCATTATATTAAGGCAAACTGCTTGCAAAAATGTGTGCATTAGGAGGAATTCACACTAAAATTCTGGTGAATGTTTATGAAGATAAAAAAGAAAGAAAGCTGCTCTTGATGTGAGATATTTGAAATGTGCCTCTGTTTCTATCTATGAAGAAGGGCATGAATTTAATAAATAATCATATTCTCTTTTTTTGTACCAAGGCCTTTTCAAACAAACTCTAGGCCTTCACTGTTTTAATGACATTTCAAACAAAACTTAAGCTCTCATTCTTGCCACAGTATGCTTTTAAACTGAGCTTACTCCACTATCGAGAAATTTTTGCAGTTGCTTTTTGCAGTTTAAAGCTCTAGTACTTTGCATTTTAAAATATTGTGATTATATCTGCTGCGTAAGCCTCCTTAGAGGATTGGATTGATGGCTGTCCATATACATTTGATCAATAAATATTGTCTCATCCTTCTTTTTTTCCAGTTCAGCCAGACCCTCCCGAAAACCTCTCCCTGGAATTTGAGAAAAAAGTCTATGGAAAATATCTGTTATTGAACTGGTCTCCACCTTCTCTGGGTGACATCAGATCTGGTTGGCTAACCCTCGAATATGAGTTACATATCAAGCCTGAAGGGGGACAAGAATGGGAGGTGAGAATGGTGAAAGCTCTTGAACCACTTCCAGATGTGTAGATTTGCCAGTTTCAGCCCTCTCAGCTTCTCATTTTCCCAATTCTAAATCCAGTTCTCCACATTTCTGCAGCCATTTCCAATAAATAAATCCTCATGAACATCCACCAGCATTTTAATGTGAATTTATCCCAACAAACACATTTTTGTCAGCAGCTTCAGCTAACCTACACACAGTTCTGCAAGCCATTTCTCCGTAAAATGATGCACTCTTGCATGCTGCTTTCAATAACATGTTCATTTTTACCCACACTTCCCCTTAATATATGCATTTTTGTAAACACTGGCTGGAAGACTGCATCGCAACTTTTGGATTAGTGTGAACTTCAAAGGATGGTTGAATTTCAGTTCTCTTTGGGTTTCACAAAGTGTGGATTTGCGTGTCGAGACCCTGAAACCACCCCCTTGTTGAAGAATAACACACACAAGGACACAGATATTAGGTTAATGTTATTGGGCAAAATTTGGCCACAGCTATATTGATTACAGAATGTGAGTGGTATTCGCTTAGGCATTGAATGGACCCAACTATATATAACTCCTGCCCGTTGCGCAGGGAGTCCGATAAGGGTAAACCACCAGAAGGGGGAGCCCCGTCGATGCATACCAACTTGAGCTCCCCCGGGTGTTCCCGTAGGGGTCGTGTCATGGCCCTAGCCCTGCCCCAGGCTTCGGACAAGATCCACACCCCCAGATACCTTTAACGGAATACCCTTAAGCTTGGAGGGGCAGGTGATGGCCACACCTCACCTCCCCCCTCATAAGGTCAAACAATGCCTAACCGCCACAAGAGCCTAAAGTATCGCCGCCAAATACCCTCACACCTGTAACCAATGCCTCAAGCCCTCTGCAATATCAGCCAACCAGATATCTTTCCCCCAATCAGAAAGCTGTATGCCATCATCACGAAATAGTGCCACCTTGCTGTAAACTATGGTGGGGTGCGCAATCACCCAGCCACCCAACATGTGCATCTTCTCTTTTTCTTTTTTTTAAATAATATTTTATTTAGGATTTTTTCAAAAAATTGACAACCAACAAAAGTCAACAAAAATCACAAAAACAAATCACAAACATCAAAAATCCAAACAGAAAAACAGGAAAAAAAAGAATGCAAAAGAAAAAATTTAGCATAAAAAACACTCTTTCATATTAGTAACTTTCAAAACCTTATTCTCTTTACTTCCACCCGCCTTCCCTTCTTGTATTCCACTTTAAAAATTTGTTCAGCAAGATCATTCATTATTTATTTTAAACCTTTATCCCTCCCTTTATAGTCTTGTTTATCTTAATCGCTAGAAACCCCTTCATTTCATTTTCAGAGCCCTCAGCATTCATAAATTTTACAGTATTTTTGTAGATAGACTTTAAACTTCTTCCAATCCTCTTCCACCTGCTCCTCTCCTTGATCTCGGATTCTGCCGGTCATTTCTGCCAGTTCCATATAGTCTATTACTTGCATCTGCCATTCTTCCAAGGTGGGTAGATCTTGCGTCTTCCAATGCTTTGCAATAAGTATTCTTGCTGCTGCTGTAGCATACATGAAAAAGGTTCTATCCTTCTTTGGCACCAACATGTGCATCTTCTCTTCTGTGCCACGGAACGTTCAAGCAAGCCAAGAGGAATCCCTCCAGCTCGCGCCTCAGCTTAAATGGTCCCAGCCACACCCCTACCATCCAGCAGATTGGCTGGCCGGTCACTGACACTGCCGGGATCCCCCGGGCAATGCGGGACTTCGTCCCCCACCCCCGGCCACGCGGTCCACCGCAACTCCTCCCCACGGTGAAGTGGAGCGGACCTGGCAGCTATGCCTTTACATGTGAACTGAATTGGATGTTGCCCCCACCCCTATCTCCTGACAACCTGTTTAATGAGCACTTACCCTGGTTTGCTTACAGAGAGGTATACAATGTTGTGCCCAAACAATTTTTCTCCAACACTTCCCATTGCATTTTCCTTATCACACACAGCCTAATTGGGGGAGGAATTGAAGGTATGTTGTGCAAGAATGCCAAATCAACCTTAATTGTGCAACCAGTTAATCCCATCTGAAAATAGTGGCCTCCTGGAAGCATCTTTGGGAGTAGCCAAATGCTCTGTGTTTCAGAAACAGTATCTGAAAAAACAGGGTCACGGATATCTGTGTTGTTCTTATCTTTCCAGAAAATATTTGTTGGTCAGAGAACAACATATAAGATGTTCAGTGTAAATCCAGGAGAAAGGTATGTTGCAAAAGTTCGCTGCAGATCAGATCATGGAACGTGGAGCGACTGGAGCCCTGAAAGTTTTATAAAGCTCCGAAAAGGTGAGGACAACTGCTGGGGATGACCTTTCGTTAATTAACCCCAGTCATATGAAAATGCTAGAAAGCCTAGTTGAGGAGTTTGTTATTCACATCCTGCTTTTCTATTTAGAATAAAAATAAAACCCCACATCATAAAAGAAAACACAGTTCAATGATAACAGCAACACAATTAAACAAGGATAGGGCTGACATGTGATGAAGCTGGTGCTAGACGTGTGCGTCTTACAAAACATTGCCTGGTGGTCTGCTTTGGGAAATCAGGACAAGTTCAGCTGACAACTTGGTAAACATATTAGCTGTGTGAGTTCCAGACTGCTAGTGGAGGGGGAGCCAAGCTGGTGCCTTCCAGAAGTTTTGGACTACAACTCCCATCATGCCTGACCAGTGGCCATGTTGACTAGGGATGGTGGGAATTGGCATTTGCAACATCTGTATCCATGTTGACTGCCCTTGAACTAAATTAAGTTGGCTGGATGCAAAAGAAGGCAAGGCTTCTGCACCTTTATTTGTGTAGGAAGGAGACTTTATGCAGGTACAGCTTGAGTGGCAAGTTCCCGCCTTCCACATGGAAATAAAGACACAGGACACCAGTATTTTAGGTTAATGGGCAAAATTAGGCCACAACTTTATTGATTACAGGAACTGAGCGGTATTGGCTTAGGCATTGGTCCTATCGACTAACCGGCTTCAGCCTGATTGCTAGAAGACTGGCAAGGGTTAACCACTAATAGGGGGAGTCCTGCTAATGTACATCAACTAGGAGCTCCCCAGGGGTCACCGCTCAGGGGCGTGCCTTAGGCCCACACCTCCGTAGGCTTCGGACAGGTCAACGCCCCCCCGGAATCCTTTACCGGACTACCCTTCGATATGGGGGAAGGTGATGGCGCTTCCTCCCCCCCCCCATCTGCATAACAATACCCTTACCAATGCCTAACCGCCAATGCCGAGGAAGTTTTGACGATTTGCTACGAGGTAGGCGAAAAACCAAATGGCTGGTGCCAATTTGCCAAGTGGAAAAAATTCCTACCAGGCCTCTCGACGGCGACCAACCAAAGTCCATAGCAATGTCAAAGAGCCAAACCTAAAGGGTGGGAGGGTGGGAAACCGGAGCAGCTGGGGCGCTGGAGCAGAGAAAGAGGGAAATCCTCAGGCGTGCCGGCCCTAAATAGCACGGGCCATGGCTCCCGGGCCAGCCGATTGGCTGGCAAGGGAGATGACACATCCGAGGATTCCCTGATCTCGTGGGGGCTGCAAGCCAGCCCCTGCGCATGTGGGGGGAGGGCATGAAGCCCGCAGCCCCACCTCCTCTCCAGCTCGGAAGTGGCTTTGCCTGGTGGTCTGCTTTGGAAAATCAGGGCAAATTCAGCAGACAACTTGGTAAACATATTAGCTGTGTGAGTTCCAGACTGCTAGTGCAGGGGGAGCCAAGCTGGTGTCTTCCAGAAGTTTTGGACTACAACTCCCATCATGCCTGACCAGTGGCCATGTTGACTAGTGATGGTGGGAATTGGCATTTGCAACATCTGTATCCATGTTGACTGCCCTTGAACTAAATTAAGTTGGCCGGATGCAAAAGAAGGCAAGACGTCTGCACCTTTATTTGTGTAGAAAGGAGACTTTATGCAGGTACAGCTTGTTGTGTAAACTACGCCTGCTGAAACGCCCTGTTCTGAAATCTCATCACTGAGCTCACAGGGCGATTTTATGCTGATCACGGCATTACAGACTGATCTACCATCCAGGGTTGTTGTGGGAGTAAAATGGTAGAGATGCCACCTGCCCTGAGCTAATAATGTTTTGAAATGAACTCTTAACTGCCAAAAATTTAATCCCTTCTCATTTTCTCTCCTAGAGTTCAGACTAAAGGATATGCTTGTTTGGATCTTCGTGGCTTTTTTATCATTTGTCGTATGTTTGATCATGATCTGGACCCTGGCTTTGAAAAAAATTAAGTAAGTTGCTACTTCTGACATTGTAAGGTGGTGTATTGAAAAAAGAAAACAAGCAAATTTGTTGCCACAGCATGGGGGTAAAGGGTTGGAAAGCTTTCTCCATACATTGTGGTCGCAGCTGTGATTCTTCTTCCATCTCCTCCACCAACTGCTATTTAAATTTTTAAAAAGCAGACATGTTAAATGCAAACATGCATTTAATACATCATCCAGCTGGGGTTATGCATAGTGGAACTGTGAAGCTTGTTGCCGGTGCTCTATTTTGCCAATCCACAAACACAAAAAACAAGTTTCTGCGTGTAGAATTCATCTTCACTCAAGAGACCACTCTTGGTTCTGCTGCCTGAGATTGTACGTTCAAGTGAAATCAGTTTATTGGAATATCCTGAGGGTCCCCTCTTTACAGCCATGGATATTTGTTTTTCCAGCAGGCAGGGTTTTCTGTATGCTCAAACTGTAGCCTTATTAGACTTTACCGATGGGTTGGGTGCCATCCCTGCTCCACTTTGGAATGGACAAGGCCATTCATTAGGCGTCACAGACTGATAAAAGAGAGAGAGCTTTGTTTATACAGCTGGGTTCCTGCTATACATTTGCTCAAGAGCTCAAGTTAATAGTTTTTAGCTAATGCACCCTTGGAGAAGGAAAATGGGATTTGGGGGCCCGTTTCAGACTCACTGCACAGTCAGGTTTTAGATTTGGGAAACCCATTCCTTCAAAACCTATCAGAAGAAAATAAAACCAAGTATGAAACCAAATGATTTCCTTCATTTCTTTATTCCAAACCCTTACCTCTTTCTTGTTTTTCAGCATGGTGGCTTGCCTTCTACCACCAGTCCCAGGACCAAAGATAAAAGGCTTTGATGCCCAGCTACTAGAAGTAAGTGTTTGGGCACTTAGAGAAGTTTTGCACTCTTATTTTTTAATGTCTTGCATTTTCTTAGAGGGGGTAAAAGAAAACACCTCATTGGAAACCTTTAACAGCTTTAACCTGTTAACTCTTCTGCTGATGCTAATCTGCTTGAATTCAGAACAATAATATCCAAACGCAACACGATGACCAAGTACAACAATGCGATGTCAATATAAACTCTTTATATAATCTATACAGAACACTGAACAATATGAAATAGGCACTCTCTGCAAAACCAAATAAACATAAATCTTCTAAATCTCAAAGTCACAGAATATGACACTCTTGATGGATTCTCTTGAAAACATAGAACCAAATAAACACAAGTCTTATAGGTCTCTGAAAGTCTTTGTGAGCTATGCAAGTCTCTGAAAGAAGCAATGAGTCAGATATCTGGAGTAAACAAGCCGTAAAGCTTTGTTTTATAACGTCCAATGCTGCCGAAGTGGTCTGCAAACAGACGTAGTGAACAGTGATTCCGGATATACCAACTGTTTCGTGGAATTCTTCTTCAGCACAGCAGGATAAAGAAATGCTTCAAAAACTGCAATTGAATTATTGAAACAATGACCTGCATATACATGGTAACTCAAATTATTAGAAACTATATGCAAGAACTATAATATCAATTCAATATGAAATAAAACCAAAAGTACATACCCCACCTATATGGTGAATGGAATTGTATGAACAATTGCTATGGAGCAGTGGTCATAAAGTTATGTAATGTTGCAAGAAACTTAAAAAGCCGACCCCAGGTGGTGCTCATAACAAGGTCATTTCAGAGATTTAGAAGATTTCTGTTTATTTGGTTTTGCAGAGAGTGCCTATTTCATATATTCCATATTGTTCAATGTTCTTTATATAGATTATATAAAGAGTTTATATTGACATCACATTGTTGTACCTGGCCATCAGTAATTTGGATATTACTGATATTTGCTTGCAACACGGGTTTTAATTGAATTCAGATCAAAGCATGCATCATTGTTGTTGTTGAGTGCTCTGTACCACATCTTTCTCCTTTGCGTTTTCAGACATAATCAGGTACATAATGCAAATATTATAGTTATTACATTATATTCCCCCTTGTATGTTTCTTCACATCAGGCAGGGAAAACGGAAGAACTGCTGAGTGCTCTTGGCTGCCAGGGATTTCCTCCAACACCGGGCTATGAGGACCTGCTGGTAGAATTTTTGGAGATAGATGACAGCGAAGACCAGCAGCTAATGCCAAGCACCGAAAAGAGCCACCCCAATAAAAATGTGAAGCTGGCGCACCAGGAAACAGACAGCGACTCGGGAAGAGGAAGCTGCGAGAGCCCTTCTCTGTTGACAGAGAAGCGCAAGGAAGCCCAAAATCCGCTCTTGGAATTGAAAACACCAGATACCTATGGGGTGCAAAACGCTCATAGGAACAGCATGCAGGAGTCACCAAAGGGGGGCGCTGAAGGTCAGCTCCCCTGGATTAACAGTGGTGAACCTAGGCCATCCACGTGGTGCGGAGGTCAGCTCCCTAGCTGTCAGACTTCTAAATGTTCCTACCATGACACAGTGGATGTATGTAAAAGGGCAGTCAGTGCCATGAATATAAACAGGAAGGGGAGCGAGGAAGGAAAGGGTTGTTCACAATATCCTGAACTCATTGAGACTCTTGGCAAAAGAAAACCAGCCAAATTGGAGAAAGCAGCGGATCTACTCTCAAATGCACAGCACGGCCAAGCAGGGTTGTGGCTACTCCCACCAGAAAGGCCGCCATTCTCATCTACAAAACCCGCAGATTACGTGGAAGTTCACAAAGTCAACCACGATGGAGCTCTGGCTGTACTACCAAAGCAGAAAGAAACTGTAGGCAAAAAGGAAATGCCTTTTGTCCCTGGGGATACGAATGAATACACAAAGGTTTCAACAGTCGTGTCCAACCATATTTTGGTGTTGTTCCCAGATCCCAAAGCGGAGGCTTTGCCATCCTTTCAGGAGCCACTGAAAGAGCTCGCCCAGAGTTGTCAGCAGAGCCAAGCGGAGTTAAATTTCAGCTATTGTCTCACAGGTCCAAGCACCTGCAAAGTACAGACTGGTGGGCTAGACTACATGGATCCAAATAATTTTATGTGCCCCTTTAACTGAAAGGTTAGCCATCCTTCTACAGGTAACAACACTACAAGTAAAATAAACAGTGTTGGCACAAAACTGCTCACATGTCTGGTTTAGCTCAGTTGTAGCTCATGCCTTCTTTCGCTTTATAGCCAATCGCTTAAGAACATGCTGGTTGCAGATCAATTTTTTCCCCTACCTGTGATTTTTAGTTCTTTTTGTGAAGAGGGATTTACAGAAAAGTAAAAGTTTGTGGCATCGTTTTGAAAACGCAAGCATCCATTTCTGGTAATACATTCCAAAAAAACAAGGAGGGATTGGTGTGTTGATGTTACAAAAGCAACCCTGAGATTATCACCAAATGATGCTGGTTAAGAGACGCAGGCTGAGCTTATAAAATATTGTCCAAAAAATTATATTGGTAATCAGACTCTTGAACAACACTGGTAGTGTCCAACCTGTTTTTGGCAACTGTGCGTCACACAGTGCAAGTACAATATATGAGACGGTGTCTGCTGCAGTGTGTGGACTACAGTGTGAACAACCCATCATACCTAATTTGTGTACAGGTCCTCGAGTTTGAGCCATTGTGCACATCTCAGGGACTGGCAGGACGCTGATGAGTGTGCTTCGGGGGAGTGAGGCTGGAGTCTGGCTCAGGAGAGAGGGCCAGTGATTTGTGGGGAACTGTACTGGACAGAAGGCAAGAGTTGGAGGCAGGGGAAGCTTCAGGTGGAGCACAGGATGGGTTGGAGAGGAGGAAGAGGCAGGTCAGGCAAGTGAGAGGCCAGGTGCTTCCCCACCACTGTCTCCCAGACCCAGGAGGGGACTGAAGAGGGATGAGCAGAGGATAGGCATAGTCTATGGCTGCATGCATGCAGCGTTTTGGGGAAAAGTACATAAACTGGTGGAGGTGGAGTGGTCCCCTGTTGCTGCAACTTCTTCTTAGAGCCAGCATGGTGTAGTGGTTAAGAGCGGTGGACTCGTAATCTGGTGAACCGGGTTCACGTCTCCGCTCCTCCACATGCAGCTGCTGGGTGACCTTGGGCCAGTCACACTTCTTTGAAGTCTCTCAGCCCCACTCACCTCACAGAGTGTTTGTTGTGGGGGAGGAAGGGAAAGGAGAATGTTAGCCGCTTTGAGACTCCTTCGGGTAGTGATAAAGCGGGATATCAAATCCAAACTCCTCCTCCTCCTCCTCCTCTCTTCTTCTTCTTCTTCTTCTTCTTCTTCTTCTTCTTCTTCTTCTTCTTCTTCTTCATAGACCATGGACCTGGGAACAGCTGCCTAGACACTAAATTGGCGTGGGAGGTATTCAGAGCCATAGAAATGACTGTGTTATGTTTGACGACAAAGAGTTAACTATTGGCTGTGTGCATTTCCTTGACTGGGGAGTGCCCTGGACAGAACAGGCAGGAGAAATGGGCAGGTCTCACTCTGTGCCATAGCTAAGCCCAGGAGCATTCCTGTCCAGACTGCCTCAGGCCCCTACAGTCTGTGCTGCTTGTGGCATCTGTGCTGAAGCTGGCTCCAGCTTTGAGGGAGTCCTCATCATGGAGGTTGCTGGTGGGCCTTTACAGATGCATGTTGGGGCGGGGTCGAGGAGGCAGTGCTCCACCAATGAGTACCATTGTCATCACCCACAGAGCAACATAGCAATGCTGGGCCTGATCTGTGCCATAGGCTGGACAGCTGAAAATGACATACTTTGCTGTTGCCTGAGGAAAACTAGCCAAATACATCAAATTCAACGAAAAGTAAACACCCAAATGAAAAACTTAATGGATTGCATTATTATTCCATTTTGTTGGCACTAGCAAAAAATCCATCAATCAGAATTATTTCATGTTCTGCAATGTATTTTAAATAAGTTTTAAAGGCTAGTACAGTTTTTATAATATATTTTTCTTTGCCTTTTCCCCCTTTCTTTAAAAAACCCACTTTTCAGGATGTTAAAAATTGTGTGTGTGTGTGTGTGTGTGTGTGTGTGTGAGAGAGAGAGAGAGAGAGAGAGAGAGAGAGAGAGAGAGATCTAATATATTGAAGGCATTAGCCAGAGTTATCTTTTTTATATGTTTTTCTGCTTTTAGTGCAGCAATTGGGAATCTGTGGTTCTCTGGATATTGCCAAACTCTTGATTCCCATCAGACCCTACCAGCACGGCCAATGGTCAGGGATGACATGAGTTGGAGTCCAACAACTTCTGGAGGGCCACTGGCTTCCCACTCCTCTTTTACTGCGATGAATTATTTGCTGTGCGAGTTCCTCAAAGTTTAAAAGAAACTCCATTAGCACCAGTAGCGTTACTTACAGGTATTCCAACATTTAGGGGAGAGGAGAAATCTAAACGAATCATAGCATTGTAGAAACATAGAATTGTAGAGTTGGAAGAGACCCTGAGGATCATGTTGTAGCCCAACCCCATGCAATGCAGGAATCTCAACTGAAGCATCCATAACAGGTGGCTCTGCTTAAAAACCTGCAAGGAAGGAGAGTCATCCACCTTCTGAGGGAGTCCGTTCCACTGTCGAACAGCTCTTACTGCCAGAAAGTTCTTCCTGATGTTTAGTTGGAATCTCCTTTCTTGTAACTTGAATTCATTGGTTTGGGTCCTATCCTCCGGAGCAGCACAAAACAAGCTTGCTCCATCTTCTGTGAGACAGACCATGAGATATTTGAAGATGGCTATCAAATCTCCTCTCTGTCTTTTCATGTACTACTGGCAAGCCAGGTATCTCCACCTTATATTTGTGCAGCAGGTTCTTCCTGCCTAAGCGTACCTTTGTCCACTTGTAATTTGTCAATTTTTAATTCACCCAAGTTTTGTTGTCATCTGCAAATTTGATGAACATCCCCACAATACCTTCATCCAAGTATATTTTTAAGTAGACAATGTTAAGACTTGCAGTTCACTAAAGGTCCTGTTGAAATAGACAAATTTATTCAATATGGGACATAAAGGTTTAGCAAACAGGTATCTCCCAGCTCCTGCCCACCTAGCAGTTCAAAAGCACGTCAAGTGCAAGTAGATAAATAGGTACCACTCCGGCGGGGAGGTAAACAGCGTTTCCATGCGCTGCTCTGGTTCTCCAGAAGCGGCTGTCATGCTGCTACATGACCCGGAAGCTGTCTGTGGACAAAAGCCGGCGAGATTAGCGCGCAACCCCAGAGTCGTCCGTGACTGGACCTAACGGTCAGGGGTACCTTTACCTCCCTTTGAACTATACATTTTATATGAATAAAATATCTACTTTAGTTCTGCACTATTGCTGACAGTTGCATTTGTGCTTTTTACATTTTTAATAAGGCAGGCAATTAATTTATATAACTAGCAGAAACCTATAAGAGGCCCTGCACAAATATTTCTATGTAGTTTTCTGGATTAAAATACTGTAATAATCTTTGGAGTTAATGATATGCTATGGTTACTGGGGGCACACACACCTCCAAATTTTTGGAGTATGCTATTTGTGGTGCGATATGATGTTCAATGAATATTTTTGACACTTTATTCATATATCAAATCTGTACCCCCAGCAGACTGGTACTGAAGTAGCAAATTCTGTCCTAACTTTGTTAACATGCTTTTGTGTAACTTTGTTAAAGCTACACATGCCTCGTTTTGTTGTCGTTCATACATGTAATGACCATTGGTTAAAACTCCATCGGCAGCTTTTTCTATGATGACTTCTAAACTATTCTGTAGAAACAGTTTGAGTTGATAGAGTTTAAGTCACTTCCTTTGGCTGCAACCCATAAGCGCATTTATTGATAAGTGAGTCCCATGGAACTCAGAGATGTATTTCTACCTAGTAAATGTGTTTTTTTTTATTGAGTTGAAATAACGCGAATGTTGTGGAGGAAAACCAAAGCAACCTAAACCAGCTAAATAAATTTCTGCTGAAAAGCCATAAAGTCGTGTTACAATCAAGACAGCTGTGAAAGCACAAGGTTCCCTCCCCCCCTTTACAGGCAAATCTACCTCAGGTTTTCTTTTCCCACTAAGAGAGAGAATGAGAAAGACTGTGATACACCAAATTGTCAATTACTGTATTTTAAAAGGAGCAAATTGAGCCCTTCGCAATCACTGTGATGTTTAAGGCGGATGATTTTTTTAAATAGTTTGTCGCGCATTCATGACAAGCTTGTGTACGTATGTAGCACTCTTCAGACATTATTTGTGCTTTCCCAACTTGCATATATTTACTAATGTAACTTGAAGCTTTGGAACTCTACATTTTCAAACCGGAATCCATTCTTTGTGTGCACACACATTAATTGAGCAATTGTTTCAGCTCCACAATTGGATGAGGTATGCAGATAATGTCTCGAATTGGGGGGCTGGCAACTGACATTGCTAATGGTGGTCAATCTGGTGGTGTTGAGCTGTGTACAAATGAAACTAGTCTACGGCAGGGTCACCAGCCAGCCGGTATTTTATTGGTGCAAGATTGCATGAGAGGAGATTCCATATTATTTCTTGCTTCATGTGACTCTTCACAACCTACCAGATTGCACCCATAACTCAAGCAGGTTTCTCATTGCCTCCACCACTCAGCTGCCTCAGGCCTATCAAGGTCTGTCCAGGGTCCCTTGCCAACCAAATTTTGCCAAGGCTCTGATTCCTTGACCCCATCCAAGGGGCAGGAGAACCCTACGGAAAATGTGTTTTTTTTAAAAAAAAAACATTGACACATTTGTTTGAAGTGCTTGGAGCATGATCCTATATGCAAAACAAATAAGAAATGAAATGAAAGATTAATCTCCCCTTATGGGCATGCAAGGTTAGACTCTTGGTCACAGAAATAACAATAACAGTAATTTTATTATTTGCACCCTGCTCATCCGGCTGGGTTGCCAGAATACAAAATGCTTGCAAATCCTATTGTGCAAAGGGGGTGTTCTCTCTCTTTCCATGTTCTGATGCTGCTAAACTAACAGTTTTCAACATAAAAAAATTCCTTCCAGTAGCACCTTAAAGACCAACTAAGTTAGTTCTTGGTATGAGCTTTTGTGTGCATGCACACTTCTTCAGATACTAAGTGTACATGCACACGAAAGCTCATACCAAGAACTAACTTAGTTGGTCTTTAAGGTGCTACTGGAAGGAATTTTTTTGTTTTGACTATGGCAGACCAACACGGCTACCTATCTGAAACCAGTTTTCAACATGTGAGACTAAAATCAGTCCATAATGTGAACAGAGTACCTGCATCACATTGAGAAGGTCTGTACAGCTTGGATGACTCACCAAATCAAAAACAGCTTAAATCACACAAATTGCGCATAGTGGGCTGCCAGGCAAATCTCTTGTTTTTTGCATTCTGATGCTGTCAGCAAAACTAGGAGCTTTATTTGGGCTTGGTGGGTCACAGCTTGCAAAGACCAGGCTGGTACTGCTTAGTTGTTGCAAGTGATCCAAAAGTCCCTTTCCCCCAAATAATTGGAATGGTTACTCAGTTGCTGAAGGGTAGCAGCACATTCTTTTTAGGCTGAAGGCTGTGTTTTCTGTTGTAGGAAAAATTGCATTTTTCTACCACTCAGGAAATTGCATTTTCCCACCCCTCGATATTTTGTTAACCTTGTGACTTTTAATTCAACTCTTAGTAGTAAATGGAAAGCCATGAGTGGGTCCTAACCTTACAGATTTCTGCACAGGCATTTTTATTATTGATACTTTTTTTTCTCCTCCCCCATCTTGGAGTAAAGCCCTTGAATCTGTTTTGATGCTTTCTCTATTGCTAAGACATGTCTAGTGATGTGCATCCAGGACCTGACCGCATGCCTTGCAGCCTTTTATTCTTGCTCACTTTCACATTTAAATTGCAGCTTTATTTTATTAAATGCTACTTCTAGATGAAGTGAGAAGTAAATACTGTATTATGGATGAATGCTAAAGATCTACATTTTCCTAGATTTCTTTTTGTAGCTCACAAAGATCTGTGGATGTATTCTTAAGCTATAGTTTAAAAAGTCACATTTATAAATCCTTTTAAATGTACTGAATTACACACACTCTTGCACACTTCTTCATTTAGAGAAGTCTGACTATCTCTGGTCAAACTTATACATCACTAGCCTGCTCAGTTTTACAATGGCTAGTCTAGTGGAGACATTTTAATTAATCTAGTATTTGCTTTCTATTTCACAGATCTAGAAATATTCCAGATCACATATGTTAGTTTTCTTTTTGTGGATGACTTGAACCTCCTGTTTTATGGGCTAAAGAATAAACATAGGACAGTGGTATTTTTTAAAACCCTGCAATTAATATATTGTTTGCAGAACACTGGTACAAAACAAAATGCTCAGGAATCTTTTCTTGTTTGTTAAATGTGTTTGGAGGACAAATTGTTTAGCTGAATGTGAATGGGGGAAGTTTGCTTCAATTAAGTTATTACAATAATGTCTACCACAGGTTTTGTTTTCATGATCAATATTGTTGCTGTGTCATGTACTTTTCTCTGATAAACTTGTCCATTGTTTCCACTGCTGTTCTCTTTCTGCTAGTTTTGATTTCTTCTCTGTTACTATCCAACAAAATGTATTAAACTGTTTCTTGAGCAAAAATGTGGAAGTGTTCACCGCCCAACGTAAATTAAGGATTTTTAAGGGAAATGGCCAAGATACTTAGATCTTGTGGCTTGTGCCTAAACTTTGGTTCTGTTCTTAAAACACTGCAAATCCTTGGTTCAATATAAAGCTTAGATTTCTGGGTAAAATCTGGGATGATGAGAAAGCAGTTCTCTCTTTCTCGGTTAATTGCTAGCAGCCACAACATTTATTGCACCTGCTGGGACCAGTGTCTCAAGGCCAAAGGGTTGAAAGTAACTTCTGCCTTCAAAACAGACAGGTGTTAACCTGGGTTTTGGGTCAGACTTGAACCGGGATCTGGTGGAAGTGTTCAGCAGTCAAAAACTAGAGCTTCCTTACAGGTACAACCTCCTAAGATTGTAAAGGGACACTATTTTCTATTTACTTCTTACTATTTATTCCAGGCTTCACCAACCTGGTTCTCTCTAGATGTTTGGAACCAAACTCCCATCCACCCCAGCCTATACGAAACTTGTAGTCTAAAACATAATCATTTTGGTGAAGGGTGATTTAGCCTACTCACACACAAGCACCCCCATCCTCTCCCAAATCAATCTACCGTATTTTTCCTCTATAGGACGCACCTTTTCCCCTCCAAAAATTAAGGGGAAATGTGTGTGCATCCTATGGAGCAAATGCAGGCTCCTTGGCTTCAGTGATAGCAACGCGAAGCCTCTGAAGCGCAGAGGGAACGCTCCCTCCGCGCTCCGGAGGCTTCGCATTGCTTTCACTGAAGCCTGGAGAGCGAGAGGGGTCGGTACGCACCGACCCCTCTCACTCTCCAGGCTTCAGGGATAGCCGCCTGAAGCCTGTGGAGCGCAGCAAGACCCTCCTGGCTTCAGCAGAGAGGGAGAGCTGTGCAGCGCCCCTTCAGCCAAGCGGGAGGCAGAATGGAAGGGGCTCCGTTTCTCCTGCCGCTTCGCTGAAGGGGCACTGAGCAGAGAGGGGGAGATTTTTTTTAAATTGTTCTTCCCCTCTAAAACAAGGTGCGTCCTATGGTCCGGTGCATCCTATAGAGTGAAAAATACGGTATACAATCCAGACAACTATTACAGAACTGTTGAACCATTTCTTGAAGATTATGCATGGCCTGTTGGTCTTCCTCTAGAAGAGCCACCAGAGCCATGTGCCCTTGTATGGTTTGGAATCCAGACTAGGAGAAGGGTTCAGCCATGTCAGTGTTCTGGAATGGCCAAAGAATAAAGGAGGGGAGACACAAGAAAGGCAGAAGTTTTGAACGGAAGACGTAGGACAGGCATAGGCAAACTCGGCCCTCCAGATGTTTTGGGACTACAGCTCCCATCATCCCTGACCACTGGTGCTGTTAGCTAGGGATGATGGGAGTTGTAGTCCCAGAACATCTGGAGGGCCGAGTTTGCCTATGCCTGATGTAGGAGATCCAAGGTCTTCATTCATGCCCTATATTCAAAAGCAGCATCTCTCCAGTTTCGTAACAGGTCATCTGGGCTTCCAGCAAAACACTCAACTAGGGAGCTTATATTTTGGATTCAGGCACATACTGGAAATTCAGGTCCATGCAATCAAACTGGTTGAAAGTCCTCAGTTGCTGCTGTAACACAAGTAATCAACTTTTAAAAAAACAACCTCAGGTTTTTGTGGTTAGGGTGATGGGGAAATGCATGGAAAAGTGTGGATTGAATTAATGATTCGCCAGGAAGAACTCTCCTCACAAACAAATCAGAACAAATGCTCAATAAAGAGCGGACATAGTCTAACCTCCGTGCAAGCTTTGTGCAACCCAATCTGGATCAATGCTCAATAAACAGGAAATCTGTAATGCATTGGCCTTCAGCCAGTGCATTGGGACCCAATACCAGGTCATGTCCTGATTTCAAGTGGGCTGCAGCTGCAACATTAACAAACATACAGATGAAGCATAGGTAAAGCCAAAGAGGAATCCCATTACCCCCAGGTCCTTTGCTCCCAGTCAACTCTTGGCTTACTCATTTCTGCCTTGCCTTCCAAACTGTTTCTCACACGCACTTGGAATGAATGAGAGGGGAAAGATTTGCAGGTCAACCTTTAACAAGCAAGCCTTGGGGGGGGTTAACACTCTGCACGTGCTCAGAGAAGTTTACGCAGGCCCACGCCCTCAGTGCGAAGTTCCTCCTCAGTTAATCCTGGACTTCTCAAAACCAGGCTTTCCTGAGGGAACGCCGGGCTCCGGGGGCAGCACCCACTTGACCGCGGCCTCAAGCCACCCCTTCCAGCGGGGGGCGGCGGCCGCTGCTCGGCTGCCATTGGTGGCGCGCGCGGACCTTAAAGTCCACCTCGCCCTCCGCGGCCTGCTGTTTCGGAGCGAACGAGAGAGAAAGGATGGTCGCGGCTCGGCTCCGAGGGCCGCTCCTGGGCCAGAAGCCCCGCCTGGCCTGGCTTTGGGCGGGAAACAGGCTCGGCGCGGCGGGGGGAGGTAAGGGGCGGCGTCGGGGAGCGGGAAAGGCCGGAGGGGCTGCGGGGGTGCGTGGGGAGGGCACCCTCTGGCACAGCCGGAGAGCGGAGCTTTGCTCGCGCCTCAGCCCAGGAGCGTTTCTCGTTCCTCGGGGGGGAAAGCAAGAGCGCGCCTCTGAGGGCGTGCAGAGCGCGCTCCCTCCGAGTAGCCATCCTTTGCGAGGCGGAGGTGAAGGGTTTACACAGCGGAAAGTGGCTTTGAGGATTCGCCCCACCAGGCGAAGGCGCCCTTCTTTTCCTCTCCGACAAGCGCGCGGAGGTCGCTCTCCAGACCCGCTCTTTGGCGTCGTCTGGGAAGGGGATGAGCCACGGGAAGCGCCTCAGCCCCCCAGAGAGCGTGGCTTTTGTTACCGCGGACTCGAAACGCCGCACCTACAGACACACCTCTCCTCTCCCCTTCAATGCGTACCGGCCAAGGGAGCCTCCTGCCGGCAGGGCGATTTGCACCCACGCGGCCCCGCTAGCGAAGGTGGCTGCCGAAGCCGACAGGTAGAAGGAGGTTTGGAGTCGGCAGTACGGAGAACGCGCTTTTCCGCGCGCGGGCAGAGCTGGTTAATCTGCGGAACTCGCAGGAGGGACTGAGCGCCCGCTGCCTTAAATGCGGCTAAACCCTAAGCGCGTTTACTGGGAAGTGAAAACGTGGCTGTACTGTGGAACCGCTTAGAGATTTTTTAAAAAAAAATATATTAAGCGGTATATAAATGCTCGGTATATCTTCAGTGGGACTTGCCCCCAGATTTTTTTTTTTGGGGGGGGGCAGATGCAAAAGAAGAACTCGTTTACCTTTAACAGTCTTGTAGAAGAAGCATTTTCAGCAGGTGCTGAAATTCCCTCTTCTTCACAGCTTATTAAAAGGTGCAGAAGCCCTGTTGTCTTTTGCATCTGGCCTGCTTTACTCTCAAGTTAATGTGCATTGTAGAATCATGGAACTGTAGACATGGATGGGACCGTGAGGATCCTCCAGTCCAACCTCTGCAACAGGGGAATGTTTTGCCCACCTTGGGGCTCAAACCCATGACTCTGAGATTAACAGTTACATGCTCTGCTGACTGAGCTATCCCAACTGAATTCAACATTACAGTTCCTTGGGGATGCATATACAGTGGTACCTTGGGATGCGAACGGAATCCGTTCCAGAGCCCCGTCCGCATCCTGAATGGAACATAAGACGCGACTGTGCGTCTGCACGTGTGTGGGTTGTGTTTCGACGCTTCTGCGCATGCGTGTGATGTCATTTTGAGCGCCTGCGTATGCACGAGCGGCGAAACCCGGAAGTAACTCACTCCGTTACTTCCGGGTTGCCATGGAGCGCAACCCGAAAGCGCTCAACCTGAAGCACATTCAACCCAAGGTATGACTGTATATATACCTATCAACCAAAGCTAGTAGGTATGATGGCTGATTGAAACCTCCATGCTCAGAACCAGTGTCCCCTTCATTACCAGATGTTGGGGGCAGGGCAGCGGCAGGAGTGTGGTATTTGGACCAGTGTGATTTGGGGGGGCTTCAGAACTCCTGCTTCTCTGAAGCACTAGGAGGTCCAGCTCCAAGAGCCTTCTGGCGGTTCCTTCACTGCAAGAAGTGAGGTTACAGGGAACCAGGCAGAGGGCCTTCTCTATAGTGGCACCCGCCCTGTGGAACGCCCTCCCATCAGATGTCAAGGCAATAAGCAACTGTCTGACTTTTAGAAGACATCTGAAGGCTGCCCTGTTTAGGGAAGTTTTTAATGTTTGATGCTTTACCATTTTTTAAAGTGCTGTAAGCCGCCCAGAGTGGCTGGGGATACCCAGCCAGATGGGTGGGTTGTAAATAATAATAATAATAATAATAATACACCCCACAGTTTCACTTTCTTTTTTACATTTTGACTTTCCATGAAAACAACAGATCAGAATTAAATGGGAAAATAAAATGGGGCAGCATTTTGATAAGGAAGATGGCGTGTGGATGATGCGCAGAACTTGCATGCCTGAGCGGCACAAACTCTGAATTAAAGAATTCACATTGCCATCTACAACCTTTCAGTCCAGAGCTTAAAATTACCTAACTGGACCACTGCCCAAAGTGGTGGCATTTTTATAATGCGCATAATTGTAAACTAGGTGCATTTGCAGGAGCTGCTTCTTCGCATATCTGATGTGCATCTCATCCCCTGACAACACTCCAAGCATACAAACTGCACCTGCTTTTCCAGCCCACCCTGGTCTGCTGCAAGAAGGGAAAGAAGCAATTTTAGGGCCACCTTAGAGGATTCATTCCACTTGAGGCCAAGAGCACTGTGTGCACAGGGTCATTCTGGTCCACATTGATTTGTGTTAGAACTGGCTTCCCCAGCCTTGTTCCCTCCAGATGTTTTTGGCCTGCCACTCCCATCCTCCTTGAGCATTGGGCATGCTGGCAGGGGCTGATGGGAGAGGGAGTCTAATAACATCTGTAGACAGGGGAAGTCTGTGCTAGAAGAATAGTTTCTGATGCCAATGTGGTACAGTGGGTGGGGTATTACACTTTGGACTTTGGTTCCAATCCTTGCTCAAGCGTAACACTTACCGTGACTTTAGGCCAGCCACTGACTTTCTGCCAAGCCTGCTTCACAGTATCTCAGCAGGAAAATGTTAAAACTGCTTGTGCTCCAAGCCCCAAAACTACCCCCCATGGAAATAAAGACACAGTGGAGACAGAATTAATTGTTTAATTGTTAATGGGCAAATTTTGGCCACAACTTTATTAAATACACAAATGTGACTGGTAATGACTTAGGCATTGGTGTCAAAACTATAACTTGCTCCTGCCCCACCCTGCAGGAAGCCTGGAAGGGTAAACAACCAGCAGGGGGAGCTCCATCAATGTATATAGACTGGTGCTCACTCCTGGCATGGCCCTAGCCCCTCTCCGGGCTTCAGACGAGATCCAGACCCCCAGATTCCTTTAACGGAATACCATATTAATTGGATGGCTGCACCTCCCCTCCCCACATTCCCCATAACCAATGCCTAACTGCCAAACCTTACAAAGTTGTGACGATTGCTAAGAGGTAGGCAAAACCCAAGCCAATCTGCCACATTGGAAAAAATTCCTACCCGGCCCCTGTTCCAAAACAGGCGACCAACCGAAGTCCAAAGCAAGGCCAAACATGACCTAATTAATGGGTGGGTGGGCAGGTGTTCGGTAGCGTAAAGCAAAAGGAAGTCCCTACGTTGCGCTGCCAATTAAATACCCCCAACCTTGCCACGCTGCTGATTGGCTAAAGCCAGTGGCATAACTATGGCACTGCCAGCTTGGAGTGGGGCAAGCCCCGCCCACAAGCCGGTGGGGAAGAGTTCCAGGGCCGAACACAACATGGACACTTTGTTAGGAGGATCCAACTTATCACATGAGGCTGGAATAAAATTAAATTGCACTTCAGAGGGTTACACTGATATGTGTGGATAATCCTAACGATTTGCATTTTTAAATTAGAGGTATACAGGCAACAGAAGCTGCAAAACTCTTGCCGCCTGCAATCAAAAATGCCTCCTTGTGGCTTTTTACCTGAAAAATATGAGGTAAGTGTGTGAGTTGCTAGTCCTGTTTGTGGGTGGATAGGGTTTGGAGGGCTTTGCTGTGTTGCTAGTTCTCAGCAAGGTTTTGTTCACACTGCACAGGCAGAGGATGCTTAATGCAGGCTAACTGTACAATCTTATATGTGCCTACTTGGAAACAAGTCCCATTGAGTTCAGAGGGGCTTACATTCCCATATACTGTAGGTGTACATAGGTGTGCAGCCAGTGATGTGAGTTTTCTGGGAAGTTTCAAACTGGAAAATTCAGTTTGCATTGGAAAATTGTCTTGATGCCCTAGAGAGTAGCATGTTTATTTTGCTTGTATTTAGTAAACCAAGCTAAAAACTTTGAAGTGGGCATCCATTTAGTGTTACTAATGAACATATGAAACATAATTATTTTTTTTGAAGTCGTTGTATTGTATATGTGGCTCTATTTTCTCAGTGGCTCAGGGAGAGTTTGGGGCACTTTCTACCCAGCCCAGATTAGCAGACAGATACTTCAAAGCTGTACTATGTTGATACAATCTGATTACTCAACTGATTATGATGGGGGTCAGGTCTCTACAATGGAAATAAATCTACAAATGCCTTTTTGTGCATCCTGCTTGCAGTCCTATCCCTATGAGCAGATGCTGAAGATCCGCAAGCAGAATGTGTCCCCCTCCTTGCTCACTTACTACAAGAAGCCACTGCTTATCCATCAGGGGCATATGCAGTGGGTGTTCGACTTGGAAGGACGTCGGTACCTTGATCTCTTTGCTGGAATTGCCACTGTTAGCGTTGGTCACTGCCACCCGTAAGTATGTGGTTAATCCCACTGTCTAATAATCTGCAAAATTCCACTAGCATGGTTACAGACGATGGCTAACAAGGGCTTATCCACACTTAACTTTTGCCCCACACTTTCTAAGCACAGGTAAGCACTTTCCCAGTCCATGTTTGAGCACTTCCCCCTCCCCTCCGCTTTCCCAATGGAAACCTGCTCTTGAATGCTGAATTGGAACAAACAGCAATTCAGATTTTCTGCAGATGGACGTGAGCATTAAAGAGTGGGCTTTCATGTGGGACATGGACCGGAAAAGCACAGATTTGTGCCTAGAAAGCGCAGAGGAAAATTAGTATGAATGAGCCCTGAGTGTCATCTGCAGGCAAGCTGGGAATTTGCTTGGGTGCCACAGTGAATCTGGGCAGGTAGAGATGTTACAACTGCTCTTGTTACCATTGGCTTACCTACTGTGATGTCACAGAGTTGTACTGAGTAATTCTTGTTTAGTGGTGCCATGTAAATGTTGCCTTTCGAAAGGCACCTTTGTTCATGCTAATCAGCTTGAAGCTCTTCCATGAAAACTGACAGGTGATCCTTGCTGCTTATCACCTGTTACAGCTCTTGGGTGTGTTATGCATTACACAGAATTGTCACAGGTGACACTTCTTGCATTTCATGGCCGTTTGGCCCCACTGTTGGTAGCTTTTCCCCTTTTACATGCGTGTGGATCAGGGGTCGGGGACCTTTGGCACTGCAGGTGTTAAAATCATAGAACTGTAGAGTTGGAAGGCACACCGAGGGTCATCTAGGTCAACCCCCTGCAATGCAGGAATCTCAACTAAAGCACCCATGACAGACGCCCAGCCAACCTTAAGAACCTCCAAGGGAGTCAGTTCCACTGTCAAACAGCTCTTACCAAACTATATAACTGTAACTCCCATCACTCCTACCAAGTATGGCCAATGGCCAGGAATGATGGGAATTGTCATCCAGCAACAGCTGGAGGACCAAAGGTTTGCAGTGCAATCCTACCTATATCTAGCCAGAATAATAATAATAATAATAATAATAATAATAATAATAATAATAATAATAATTTATTATTTATACCCCGCCCATCTGGCTGGGCTTCCCCAGCCACTCTGGGCGACTTCCAACAGAATATTAAAATACTATAATACATCAAACATTAAAAGCTTCCTGAAACAGGGCTGCCTTCAGATGTCTTCTAAAAGCCTGGTAGTTGTTGTTCTCTTTGACATCTGGTAGGAGGGTGTTCCACAAGGAAGGCGCCACTACCGAGAAGGCCCTCTGCCTGGTTCCCTGTAACTTGGCTTCTCGCAGTGAGGGAACCGCCAGAAGGCCCTCGGTGCTGGACCTCAGTGTCCGGGTAGAACGATGGGGGTGGAGACGCTCCTTCAGATATACTGGACCAAGGCCGTTTAGGGCTTTAAAGGTCAGCACCAACACTTTGAATTGTGCTCGGAAACGTACTGGGAGCCAATGTAGGTCTTTCAAGACCGGTGTTATGTGGTCTCTGCGGCCGCTCCCAGTCACCAGTCTAAAGCAAGCTTTAGCTGTAACTCCACCTTATCGCTGGGTTCTGAAATGGCAAAGCAATCTGGCAGGGTGCTGTATGTGCAGCTGTAACTTCCTGAGTGCTCCCAGCTTGCGTTGCTGATGGAGAACTTGGCAAGAGTTCCATTGTTTTGGATGAGCTGAACAGGCTTCACGACTCCATACTTTTGGAAATAGAACCTCACAGCAGTGGCACTGCTTTTGCAATCGATCGTCACATTACTTCCTAGGATGACCTCTTTGTTGTGGCTCAGGGTGATGCTGGGTTTGGGTAAGCTGTGATCCACAAAGGTTTCGCAATGAGAAGAGTTGCTGGAAACAGAGGGCCTCACCCCAGTTGTCACTCTAGACTTGCTTTTTATGGGCAGGTACTTCCTCAGGCTGCCCACAGCTGTGTCCCATTCAGCTGGACTTTCTTCACCCAGTTCCAGGTACAGCAGGTTTGTTGAGTCTCCCTGGGATGGTGCCCTCTGTTTCCAGTAACTCTTCTCATTGCGAGACCTTTGTGGATCACAGCTTACCCAAACCCAGCATCCCCCTGAGCCACAACGAAGAGGTCATCCTGACCAATGACGATCGATTGCAAAAGCAATGCCACTGCCGTGAGGTTCTATTTCCAAAAGTATGGAGTTGCGAAGCAACGCAAGCTGGAAGTTACAGCTGCACATACAGTACCCTTCCAGATTGCTTTACCATCTCAGAAGCAAGCTTTATGCAAACTCTTGTCCATGAAATATTTCAGCTCAATATGATGCTGCTGTTTGTTGGTATTGCATTTTTTTAAGTTTCTGTATTGCACAGTGTTTCCTGAGTTGTTTATAAAAGGGCATAACAGCAACAGTTTCAAAGACTAGATTCTGTAGTTATGCTACAACAGATGAGCTCTGTGACTTTGCAGCAACATGTTGCTTATGTATCTGTTTATTGGGCTAAACTGTAGCCAACTAATATTTTGGTGCAATGCCATATCCACTTTATTCCATTACTTACTTACTGTAATGTATCACTTTTCATCCCAAGTGACCTCAAAACAGTTTACGCATAAACATGACCCTATAAAAAAAATTACAGAGCACAGTAACAGTAATGTAGCAATAACAGAAGCACAAGACATCAATTCAAAACAAGCTTGAGGCTCAGCAATATTCCAACCAGTCTCAGAAAGCTAGAGAAAACGAATTTAAGCATCTTTTGCCTAAAGTAGCTGCTAACATACCCAAGTAAGAAATGTCAATTAAAAAACAAACAAACATAATATTATTAACTAACATATTAACAAATAATAACAATCACAATAAATTCAGAAAATAGTCTGTGCAACATATAGAAAGCAATACAGATTGCTAACCTAATTTAACAGCATGAAACTAAACTAAGTTTGCTATTAAAGGGGGTGGTGGTTTGGATCAAAACAAATTGGATCAAAGACTTAAATAATCACATTTTTTTCCAAACACTCCCAGAAAGGTAACAGCAGCTGCCCAGAAACAGCTTGGTCGTTTGTGGCACACAAGCAGCCTCTATGCACACGCAGCAATCCAGGAATATGGAGAGAAACTGGCCTCGTTGCTTCCAGCTCCCTTAAAGGTATGCTGAGTTGTACAGTGAGAAAATTCAATTCGAAATGTGTGGGTTACAGTGATGCTCTGAGCTAGGAGGGTCAGTCAGGGATGCAATTCCATATCCCCCCCCCCCATGAAAATATAGGTATTTCAGAAGATATAATGCAAGCATAGGCAAACTCGGCCCTCTGGGTGTTTTGGGACTACAATTCCCATCATCCGGGACCACTGGTCCTGCTAGCTAGGGATCATGGGAGTTGTAGGCCAAAAACATCTGGAGGGCCGAGTTTGCCTATCCCTGAAATAGTGGAATTTAACTAAATAGTAGTATTTAACTAAATAATTGCAAGAACAGATGACTTCCAAATGCACAGGGGGTTTTCCTACCCCTCCTGCCCCTGCATGCACCACAGACAATTCCCAAATCTACTCCAGAGGTTTGAGGGAAACCCCAGAAGAGATTCAGGCAGCACACAGAGGGAGGGGCGGGGGAAGTTCCCATTGTGCAAGTAGAAGCCATTCTCCTCCTGGAATGAAGTACTTAAAGCTGCATTGAATACAATCCATGGTGTTTGTACTCTGCCAGATTGTTAACTGTGCATCAGAATAGACTTACACTTAACTTTGCTTCTCTTCTCCCTAAATCTGCATTCTGATGAATATCTTTGTTCTAGGTGATTTTCCTAACCAACAGTGGTTCGGAAGCCAACGACCTCGCCATGTTAATGGCAAGAGTTTTTACACGCAACTTTGACATCATTGGATTGAGGTAGCTATCGCACCTTGTATATTAGTTACTTGTTTTTATTTCATAAAATCCATGCACTGCTTGGTTGTAAGGAAACCTCAAAGTGATTTACACAAAGAATAAAACAATAAAATTATTGGTAAAAACAGTTAAAGGCAACAATTCAAAACATTAAAAAATTAAAATCAGCAATAAAATAAAAACAGATTAAAACACACATCAACATTCTAGATATCTGGGTATGTTGTGATCTGCTTTTATGTTCCATATAGGGGTGAGCAGATTTCCCTTGTTCCATAACTAGGTTGGAGATATTTATGTCCAGATATTCCTATCTGCCCTCTTCTGTTTTTTTTTTATAATCATATTTATTAAAATTTCCAATAATAACAGAATAGAAAAAAATAGAAAAGATAAAGAAAAGAAAGAAAAAGAAAAACCAATTTTACACCCTTATTTTCATAACCTTCTTTCTGGGACTCCCTCCTTCCCCTCCCGACTGTATTCCCCTTTCCCTAAGTTGGTTCCACAAGTTCTCATACCCAATTTAAACCTAATATGTTGTACCTATTAGCCAATTTAAATTACAATCTTAACGTCGCTCCTCATCTTTAACAGAATAAAGAAAAAGTTTTTCCCCCAAGATCTACCCCATTTCCTTCCACGAATTCCCCCTTTTTTTAAAACACATGTTAAATCAAAATACCAAAGTTATATAGAAAGATAAAAAATAGAAAATAGAAGAAAATTCCAAAAAGTTGGTTACATAGCCTTTGGATTCTAAAATTCCCCCTCCCTTCCCCGGTTTGGATTCCCCATGTTCATCAGTCTGTATGTTGTCGGCCTGGAGGTCTCAAGTCCACAGCCAAATTTTCCTCAATCCATCTTGCCGGTTTTCTTTAAGTTTACTTGTTTTGATGCTGTTTAACTTCGAAAATCCAGTCCAATAGAGGCCTTGAATTTCCTTTGGTCGTAGTTGCTCCTCCCATTGTTCTTTCCGTGGCGTGGTTGGTCCTTTGCTCTTTTATTTCTTAATTTCTCAGGTTTCTGTCTTGTTCAGCTGCAAAACCATTCTTATTCCGAAATCTGATATCTACAGAGGTTTGTTATTCAGGAACAAAAACTTACGTCCAGTTCCTACCTTGCTTCAATAGAAAAATTCTATTGTGTTGTCACCTCTGTAGACAAAGCAATATTTCAGTTTAGCTGCTTTCCCAGGAGATAAGACCTGTACACATCCCGGAGTAGTTTTCCACATACGCCAGTTGTAATGTCCCAAAGCCCCTCTAGGGGGGTTGCAGTAACTTTGTATCCTCTAATCCAAAAGTCAAGTTGTTGTTTCTTTCCCCCCCGACATTTTGTATCCATTTTTATATCCAATTGTAACAAAATTTTCCAGCAAAATACTTATATCAAAGTCCCCTTTATATTCTCAAGATTTGACAGCTACTTTGACAGCTGTCAAATTCTCCATCTCTCTCCACCAGGTTCTCCAAATCGCCCCGGTTCCCAGGGGGGGGGGTTGCCTCCTCTCACCCTCGACTTTTCTCCTCCAGCGCAATTCTTGTAGTATCCCATCGTGGAATTAATATTTTTTGTCAGCAATAAGCTTCTGAATCGATCTTGGTTTCTCAGTCCTTGTTTTAGCATGTTTACAATCAGGGAGGGGACTGACTTCCTTTTTAGATCCCCCCCCCCCGCTCGTGCCGAATCCGAAAAAAAATTTCCTTTTCTTCTCCTTTTATACCCGGTTACCCAATTACTCACGGGTTGTTGTTAAATAGCCGAATTTCCAATGGAAGAAGCCAGCGCTCTCCGCCGAATGGCATGCGGCTGCGCTCGGCAGGGGAAGCGATAGACTCAAAGCACCACGCCACTCCCCGGCACCCGATCCGTAGCCTTTAAAAAGGCTCCTTCACGAGTCGGGAGGGCGCTAACGGTACCAGCCGAGTCCCCATGTCCACGGGCTCCGTGCCCGTGGTTTTTAAGGGTCCCCGCGTCGCCGGCGCGGTAGGACCCAGCCCCTGCCGAGCAGACTCCCTCCGGAGCTCGGAGGGAGTCCGCCATTCGGCGATGGCGCCAACCCGGAAGTCCCCTATCTGCCCTCTTCTGCTGCAAATTTATCTTTAATTCCCCTGAAACAAAGTACTGTTTGATCATGTATCTTCATCTACAGTGGTACCTCGGGTTACATACGCTTCAGGTTACAGACCCCGCTAACCCAGAAATAGTGCTTCAGGTTAAGAACTTTGCTTCACGATAAGAACAGAAATCGTGCTCCGGTGGTGCGGCAGCAGCGGGAGGCCCCATTAGCTAAAGTGGTGCTTCAGGTTAAGAACATTTTCAGGTTAAGTACGGACCTCCGGAACGAATTAAGTACTTAACCCAAGGTACCACTGCATTTTTTCTAGAGTGTGTTGTGTTACTGGCTGACAATTCCTTTTTAAAACAGATTACTGGTCAACAGCCCAGAATGGTCCTCTAAATGGGACCTAATGTTTAGGATTCTTCTAATTTACTGAAAATTCATGCTTTCTTCTGGCATGCCTTGGAATAGCGAGATTCATACAGAAGTGAAAGAGAGGGTCTTGCACCCATTCAAGATGCCAAAGGCTGCTGAACTAGCACAAACCCTGAACTGATCAGGGTCCCTCTAAGTTCAGCATGAAGCGTGGAGCAGGTGAAGTGATCTCTTACTTGGCCAAAACATGTTTTGAAACTCTTGAGTGTGAGCTCTTGAGTTGCATGGAACTCTTCCTGGACCACCGGTGTTCAAAGTAAGAAAAATCAAGATAAAAATATGTTAAATGCCCAGGTTGATGCTAATTAAAAACATAAGAAAGGCACTACTGGGTTAGGCCAGTGGTCCATCTTGTCCCACATCCTGTTTTCACAGTGGCCAACTAAATGCCTGTAAGCAAAACTTGAGTGCAAGAACATTCCCTCCTCTTGGTGTTTCTAGCAGCTGTATTTCAGAAACATACTGCCTCAAATGATGGAGGAAAAACATATCCACCGTGGTTAGTAAACACTTATAGCCATTTCCTGTATTAATCTTCCTAATCCTCATTTCAAGTCATCCAGGTTGGTGGCCAGTGCTGCCTCTTGTGGAATCTCATTCCATAATTTATGTTCTGTGTACAGAAGTATATAATCTTCCAACATTCAGATTCATTGGATGTTCCCAAGTTCTAGTGTTAATGAGGGATGGAGAAAAAACTTTCCTTCATCCACTTTCTCTATAGATGATTCCAAGCGCAATAGGCAACATTTTGCAATGCAAATTTATGCTTGCTGGTGCTTGCTAGTTGCTAGTGCAAACTTAGCAATTTTGTGTATTTAACATCCATCAACTTCAGATCAGTTTGGTAAAGACAAACCACTGAGAAGCCAGAAGGGTTGTTATCTCTGAGTACTGGTTGCTGAAGACGGTTTCTGTGCAGTTCAGAAGCTTGCCTTTCTTTTAATTATTCTAGTTTCTTTCTGATTTGTAAAGACAGTCACAGGGAGATTAATCAGAAGGGATTGAAAGTGGTTGTGGTGGTTTTTTTCCTACAGAGGAGGCTACCACGGGAGCAGTGCTTACACAATGGGCTTGTCATCTATTGGATGTTACAAACATGGACTTGCCAGTGGGCTTGGCTGCCAAAAGGTGAGGTTCTTGCTGCTTGACTCCTCAACAAACATCTTACTCTTCAAGTTGGTCCAGAGGCTGCCAATCTGCTATGGGCCAAGCTCAAAGAATTGGCACTGACATATAAGGCCACAAATAGCTCAGGACCAGGTTGTTTATGCATCCAGTGGATTAATGCGGTCTGCAGGAGAGTTTCTCTGCCCTAGGTCTCTACGTTGTATTTTTATTTTAAGATATCTGCTGCTTTCTGTGTTGTTTTTCACTGTCTTTTAGCTGCTTTATTGTGTCTTGTACATTGCCTTGAGATGTATGTGTGTAAGGCGATAAATAATAAAAAATAATTTTAAAAATAGAATACTAGACACTTTAATACAGTGTTTTCACTCTGATAACAGAGAAGAGAATTATACCTCCTCTCCCCTTTTTTAATCAGACCTACGTTCTGTAGGTATAGTATAGCAATGTGCAGTCTTCTGAGTTGCTCCAAGTTTTACAAAATGCACAATACAGTTGGGTTGGTTCTAAATACAGGTACCTTTTGATCACTTGTTCATGAAGAGTGAACTTTCTGCTGGTGGCCAAAATGTTTTGTATCTATGAATTTAAAATCCTGACATAGCCAGTTAATCCCGTTGCAACACCTATATCTCTGTTGTGCTTTTCAGACAATGCTGCCTGACGTTTTTCGTGGTCCCTGGGGGGGAAGCCATTGTCGAGATTCTCCGGTGCAAACCATTCGAAAATGCACCTGTTCTGCAGGTTGTTTCAATGAGAGAGGCCTTGATTTTCAGAGGTGAAAGAGAATGATACCATGGTGGTTCAGTGCAGTAAACTGGATATGCCAAAGGCAGATGGACATCTGCAACCCTCTCATGCGCAGCCAGACCATTAGTTCTGACAGCAGTTTTGCAAGGCAAATATCCTTTAAACTGTGGGTGTAGATTGAACTTGCCACCTCCTGCATGTAAAGTATATCTCTCAGATATGATGGTAAAGGTAAAGGGACCCCTGACCATTAGGTCCAGTCGCGGACGACTCTGGGGTTGCGGCACTCATCTCGCTTTACTGGCCGAGGGAGCCGGCATACAGCTTCCGGGTCATGTGGCCAGCATGACTAAGCCGCTTCTGGTGAATCAGAGCAGCGCACGGAAACACTGTTTACCTTCCCACCAGAGTGGTACCTATTTATCTACTTGCACTTTGACGTGCTTTTGAACTGCTAGGTTGGCAGGAGCAGGGGAGCAATGGGAGCTCACCCTGTCGCGGGGATTCAAACCATCGACCTTCTGATCGGCAAGCCCTAGGCTCTGTGGTTTAACTCACAGCGCCACCCGCGTCCCAAGATATGATTGTATTGACAGTGAAATCCAGACCTGAGAGCCGCTGGGATAAGTGAGTTTGGAATGGGTGGGTCTTGGGCTGAAGCTGAGCCACAGCTACTGCAACACAACTCCCTCACCCCATCTTTGCTGGGGATGTGCCAGTGTAACTCTCTAGGCCAGCTCAGCCACCACAAGTCCCCTCCAAAGGGGGCATTCTGGGGGCAGGGCAAGTTGAAATTTACAGCATCAAGCTCTCCATCATAATTCCTTTAAAGCTGCTGCTCTTTGCTAAGTGTTTCATGCTGAGAATTGGGCACTTTGGAGAGCTGCCCTGAGGATAAAGGGGTGCTGGTGGACTGGGATTAAGTGTGAACAGTTGGCAAACGTGGATGGTGGCCAAACTCCCCCGATCCAATTCCAGTTGTGCTTTTAAAAGGTGCAAATGGGATCTGTGAAATGGGACTTCCTTCCAGGTACGTGTGTATACAAGTCTGAGTTTGCTACTGCAAATTATGGATAGGATATATATCAAATGGCTATTTAGATTTGGAAACAAGCTCATTTATGTGCAGTATACAGTATTTCCTCTAGGAGTAATAACAGTTGTCATAGCTCTAGCTTTTCCCCCACTTGTTTTGCTGCAGTCCTGTGAGTAATCTCTATTCAGCTCAATGGGATTTACTTCTGAGTAGGCAGGCATAGGACTCTGCTGCTAGATCTGAAAACTGGAAACAGAAGGGGAAATGGATGACATATGTGTCTTTGTATTCAGAGCACATGCATTCTGTCAGCCTCTGGAGTATGGGGGAATTAGATGTGGGTGGTTGGACCAACATAGGTTATTTAGATGTTACCAAAATGCATGGTGGATATTTTATTTTTATAAAAGCAGCGTTAGAAGCCACCCTTGGCCTCTATTGCATGTGAATGTTTTGTTCTCCCTCCCCATCCTCTCGATACAGGCACTTGCCTTGCAAAAGACCAGTATATTGAGCAGCTCAAAGACACTCTCACGACTTGTGTTCCAAAGGCCATAGCTGGATTTATTGCTGAGCCAATTCAAGTAAGTGATTCCCTTTGTAGTAATAGCATGCAAGGTCAGTGGATTGGTTTGCACATAAGTCATGGTTTGTTTAGCCCAAGGTGTTTTGTAATGGGCAAACCTAGCCCAGCAGAGTAACCATGTTTGTTTTCTGCCAGCAAACCAAGATGGTTTGTAGTTGGCTGACAAACCAAGGCTTGTTTTGTCTATGGTTTCTTATATGCAAACCTTAACAGCCTTGCTTAATTTATGGTTACCAGATTTTTTTCAATGAATCCGGGGATATTGCATTTCATTTCTGAATGAGGCAAAAGACCCTGGGCCTAAGCACACATGCATATTGTATAAAGGTGCAAAGCCTTTCTTTCGCACCCTGTGAAACATAACTGTGCAGAGTTTTTAAAAAACTGGGCAACGGCTGCCCACCCGCAACTTCCGAGCCTCCCCCAATCAGTCAAAACAAAGGGGGAAGGGGGCAGGAGATCTGTACTGCCGGACATCCTCGGTTCCCTTTCGGCAGCGGCAGTCTCAGCAGCCCAGAGTCAGCCTGGAAGCACAGTTGGCTCTGGCTGGCTTCAGGAGCTGCTCGCTGCCATGGCGCCCGCCATTTTTCCTCGCTGGAAGTTCCGGCAAGGAAAAAAGGCGGGCGCCATGGCAGCGAGCAGCAAGCAGCAAGCAGCTCCTGAAGCCAGCCAGAGCCAAGTGCGTTAACAGGCTGGCTCCGGGCTGCTGAGGCTGCCACTGCCATGTTTCCCAGGGACAGATTTGCAAATCTGGGGACATTCTGGGGACGGAATTTGTCTGGGGACAGATTTGCAAATCCGGGGACTGTCCCCGGAAACCGGGGACATCTGGTAACCCTAGCTTAACTATGGTTTGTTTGGACTGTCACCTTCCTGCAGGGTGTCAACGGAACAGTTCAGTACCCCAAGGGATTCCTGAAAGAGGCTTTTCAGCTGGTGCGTGAAAAAGGTGGTGTGTGCATCGCAGATGAAGTGAGTACTTTGAACTTAACTTCCCCTATCCAAAGATTTATACACATCTGTTTTTGAAAAGCATATTGTGAAGGACATAGGAGTTACCTAGAATTATACATATTCCTTTATTTCCATGGGAAATAACTTGGTGCATGAGAGAGTGAAGGATGTGTGATCGTGTGGGAACCTGGCCCTACCCATAAGGGAGCAAAGTTCCTGACTCTTTTCCTCTGGAATAATGCAGCCTTTGGTCCCAAAAAGGTTGGATAATACGGATTAGGCAGCTTTACAAAGCTGGGTATCTTCTCAGTGAGTAAAGTTTTTCTCCCTCTCATATAACACTAGAACCCGTGGATATCCAACAAAGCTGAATATTGGAACATTCAGGGCAGATAAAAGAAAGTCCTTCTTCATGCAGCACATAGTTAAACTATGGAACTCACTGCCACAGGATGCAATAATGGCAACCAGCTTGGATAACTTTTAAAGAGAATTAGATGAATTTGTGGAGAGAAATATCAGTGGCTACTTAGCCATAATGGCTATGCTCAGCCACCACAGTTGGAGCAGTAATGCTCCTGAATATCTGTCGCTGGAAACAACAGGAGAGGAGAGTGTTCTTGTGCCGATATCCACATTGCAAGTTTCTCAAATCTATCTGGTCGGCCACTGGCTTGATCCAACTGCCTCTTCGACCATTTTGCAGCATGCACCCTAGTATACACAGTTTCATGTGAGCCTTGCATGCACATGCACAGTATATGTGACCCAGTTGCAGAGGATTCCTACAAGCTGGTATGTGTGGCGAAATAACTGTGTGCTCATCACCTGTGGCAACGCACACACTGGGTGCACACAATTCCTCTAGAGAAATGTTATCTGTGAAAGAAAACTGTATTGTGTGAACTACAAGCCCAAAACATATGAAGCAACTTTTTTAATAATAAAAAAAAATTCTTTGTTCTTTGAAGGTTCAGACGGGGTTTGGTCGAACAGGCAGCCATTTCTGGGGATTTGAAGGACACGATGTGGTTCCTGACATTGTCACCATGGCAAAGGGAATTGGCAACGGGTTTCCAATGGCAGCCGTTGTCAGTACAGCAGGTGCAAGTGATTTTCATACTTCAGATGTTAAAGTCTTGAATAATTGGGGTTTTAACAGGGCTCTCATGGCTGTTTGGTGAGAATGGACCTTTGCTTCTATGCTTTGTCTAGCGCAGTGGTTCCCAATTCTCACCGCCTATGGACCACTTTTGAATTGCTGAGGGTCTTGGCGGACCACTTAACAATTTTCCCGCCTGTTGTAGGAATTGTAATGTGCTTTGCAATATGCCAGAGGATTTTTTAATTGTAATTTTATTGCTTCTTTTATTTCTTATGTGGCATTTTAATGTAAGAAATAAAAGAAGCAATAGATACAACTAAAAATCAGCATGAATATTCAATGCAGACATACCATTGGCAGGAATGAGACAGCAGTAAATCACACTGATCAAGTTGAATTTATCTTTTTATTAGCAAAAACAGGATCTGCACCGGGGTGGGTGGGTAAGTCCTAATGAGCACAGCAACACATCACCTTGCCCCCATGAAGCAGTTGCAGAGACTGAAGGTCCCCGCCTCCCCATAGCTGCCTAAGCCCCCTCCTCTCTGTGGTTTTCCCAAGCAATCTGAGACTGTGCCTGCTTGACGCTAACTTCTCCCTGCCCTTTTCATGCCTCTCCTGGTCCTGGGAGACTAGATGGGAGAGGAGCTTGTCACTGCAGGAGGAGGAGACATCCATACCTTCTCACCAGTCTGACTTATCTCTGCCTCTTGGTCTCTCTCCTCTCCTGCTTCCACTTCTGATTCTGGACTTCTCTCTGCCACAGACTCCCCCATCATACTAAGCCCTGCTGCCTCTTCAGCTTCTGACACCACCACCTCCCAGTCCTCTTCCTCGGGCCACTCATCATCATCCTACCACTAATCCCTGGGTTCTGTGCCTTATTCCCTTGGGATCCCCAGCTGGTTCCTCCCACCATTCCTCTGCATCCAACCGGTCCATGACAACCACAGACCACCTGGATGAAGCTCAGTCCATGGACCACAGTTTGGGAACCCTTGCTCTAGAGCAGCGGTTCTCAACCTGTGGGTCCCCAGATGTTGTTGGACTACAACTCCCATCATCCTTGAGCTCTGGCCTTGCTAGCTAGGGGTGATGGGAGCTGTAGTCCAACAGCATCTGGGGACCCACAGGTTGAGAAAGGCTGCTCTAGAGCACCAGCGGCTGCCTTTAATTATTTACTATGTTTCAGTTATGAATACTAGCATGCTTTGTTTTTCAGAGATTGCAGAAGCCTTGGCTCAAACCCTACATTTCAACACATTTGGAGGAAATCCTGTGGCCTGTGCAGTTGGCTCTGCAGTTCTGGATGTAAGAAAATGACTGTGACTTGCATCTTTATCTATGGGGGACTGTAGCATATACGCCATGAGTCTTTCATCTTAACACTGCAGTACACCACCATCCTTAGGTACTTCCAGACTGTCTCTGTGTTTTAGGTAAAGGTAAAGGGACCCCTGACCATTAGGTCCAGTTGTGACCGACTCTGGGGTTGCGGCGCTCATCTCGCTTTATTGGCCGAGGGAGCAGGCGTACAGCTTCCAGGTCATGTGGCCAGCATGACTAAGCCGCTTCTGGCGAACCAGAGCAGCCCACGGAAATGCCATTTACCTTCCCGCCAGAGTGGTACCTATTTATCTACTTGCACTTTGATGTGCTTTTTAACTGCTAGGTTGGCAGGAGCAGGGACCGAGCAATGGGAGCTCATCCCGTCGCGGGGATTCAAACCTTCCGAGCGGCAAGTCCTAGGCTCTGTGGTTTAACCCACAGCACCACCCGCATCCCCTATGTTTTAGGGAGGGATTTAATCACATTCTGGCAAATTAAGTGCCGTTAATATCTTGTGCAACAAACTCGCTTCCCAAGCCGATCAGATCTTTTGCAACAAGCGATGGGAAAATGCTCTGGAAACTGTGGGAGGACACTTGATGCAACAACGTCTAGGCTCCCTGTCCTTGTCTCATTTCCCCCTAGTATATTTAAGACAGGATTATCCATATGTTCTGTACAGCAGTTATTTACACTCATAGTAGTGGTGTATCAGATTAACTCCACATGCTGTTTCTTTCTTTAGAGTTAAAAAGAGCCTGGCCAACGGTATTTCAGAGAATTTGATGATTTCCTGCATGGCTTTTGTGTTCTCAGGCAATAGCAGAAGACGGCTTGCAGAAAAACAGCCAGGAGGTGGGGACTCGCCTCCTGTTAGAGCTGGCTAAGCTGCGCGATGAGTTTGAAATAGTCGGAGATGTCCGTGGCAAAGGACTTATGATTGGAATAGAGATGGTCAAGAATAAGGTCAGGAAGACACTTTGCGGGCCTGGAATGGTCTCTATCATGGTATAAGCAGCCTCGACTTACGGATCCATCTTAGTTCTTGGGCTGTCACCACTAAAGGCCTACTATGGAGGCCACTAAAAATCACCCTCCAATTAATTGCATGGGCCTTCTCAGTGCCAGAGCTGCACTTTGTGGTTGGGAGACACTGATACGGGGGTTTGAAATTTGGCCACAGCTTTTATTGTTTGCACATTACAAATGATTAGTGAGTTGGAGATGTGGCAACTCATAGAATCATAGAGTGGAACCCTAAGGATCATCCAGTCCCAATGCAGGGATATTTAGCTGTCCCATTCAGGGATCAAACCTGCAACCTTGGCATTATCAACATCACACTCTAGCCAACTGAGCTACCTAGTTGTGCTCTCTTCTTGCCTTGGTTTTGCCCAAGGAATATCTGGCTCTCTAGCACAGATGTTCTTCTTGTTTCATGCTCTACGTTGAGTTTCCTATGCTGGTGAAGCCTCGTGCCTCGCTGTGCAGATAGGCTAAGAGCTTGTCTCTTTTTAGGCGCTGCCCATATCTACAGCCCCTCCACACTCCACAGCTGCTAGCTAGATTACGGTGATGCTCTCTATGTGGGGCTTCCCTCACACTTGATCCGGGAGCCGCAGGCAGTGCAGAATGCTGCAGCCCGATTGCTGACAGGAGCGGGGCCTTGTCAGGGTTAGGGCGCTGACAATTTAACGGCTTCTGTCATGAAAGGTTTAAAATGAGGAATCAAATCAGGAAGACAGATCAGAACTTAGTTCTCAGGAAACCTTTGCCTCCACCCAGATTTAAAACTTAAGTCCAGTGCCACCTAGTGGCTAAACGTAATAATGGCATAATCGATGCGAGTTCACTTCTGTTTGTGAGTTTCGGTTAAAAAGAACCAGGAGAGGTGGAAGAAAACTAAGCTGACTTTTTCTCCACAGGAGACTCGTCAGCCGCTTCCAGTTGAAGAGATAAACCAAATCATGGAAGATTGCAAAGATATGGGAGTGCTGATTGGGCGGGGAGGAATGTTTTTCCAGGTATTCTTATATATTATATATATATGATATATATAAATCCGAGATATATAGATACATTCAGTTTATAAAGAGAGGCAGCTGGAGCAGCAATGCCTCTCTTAGGTGTTGGATAAAAGCAAATGCCACTGGAAAATGCAAAGCTGAGTGACTTTCTTTCACAGGAAAGCACAAACTCTGCACTGAGACATGAAATAATGAAACAGACACCAGTAGAAAAGAGAGGTGTGCTTGACTCTACAAAAACACGGAGAGGGAAAAATCATTATTTTTTTAGAAGGGATGGGAGTTGCTAAACAACTGCATGCTTGCAGGTCAGAGTTAGTTTTTTAATCTGTGAACCCTCAATTCAGGAAAACTGTCTTATATCAGGGCAGATTCTATGTCCATCAAGCCCAGTAATGTCTGACTGGAAGCTGTTTTCCAGGGTCTCAGGCAAAGGCCTTTTCAAGAACCAGGTGCCTGATCTTTCTAACTGGAAAGCCCAGGGATTGAACCTGTTACTTCCTGCCTGAAAAGCAGAAGCGCATCGATCTGATTTTGCCAAGCAGAATTAAGGGCCACTCTGCTGGCGATTCAGGATTTGCTCAATGGCTGCATTTCCTTGGGGGCGGTTTGGTGTTCAGAATAAATACCTAAGAGCTGCCTACTGGATCCAACCAAGGCCCTTTGCATGTCCATCAAAGCCATGCTCCTGGTAGCTCATAAGGAGGGCAGGCAGGCAGGCAGATTTAACCTGGAAGCGAGCCCCATTGAATTCAATAGGCTTTACTTCGGAATAGATAACGTGGCTCCTTGAGAATGTCACTATTCTGCAGCAATTAAGGTTTGTGGTTTAAAGCGTTCTCTGTTCCCCTAGTGCAAGAGATCCGCTTTTGGAAAAGGATTGGGACTTTTTGCAGCCTGGAAGTAGCGGAGAAAGGCATTGGGAAGATATATGAACCATATGAACCCAGCAAGCCCACCCCTTCCCCAATGTGGTGTAGAGGTTAAGAGCGGTAGATTCGTAATCTGGGGAACCGGGTTCGCTTCCCCGCTCCTCCACATGCAGCTGCTGGATGACCTTGGGCTAGTCACACTTCTCTGAAGTCTCTCAGCCCCACTCACCTCACAGAGTGTTTGTTGTGGGGGAGGAAGGGAAAGGAGAATGTTAGCTGCTTTGAGACTCCTTAAAGGGAGTGATAAAGCGGAATATCAAATCCAAACTTCTTCTTCTCTTTGCCCAGAATTCTCTAACAGCTCTGCTTAGCAAGAATTTCCCAGAGCTATGCACTGGTAAAGTTAGAAATATTAGGCAACTGCAAGCTACATTAATAACGTGATTAGCATTCATGGCGCTACAGCATCAGTGGAGAGGGAATTGAAGCCACGGTCTTAGTAAATAAAATGACCCCTGTGTGGGAATTAGCAGTAGGGGGCTAAGGAAAGCATCCCCACCCCCTGCAATGCTAATTGACATGCATTATGTGTGTGTGTATAAGATGGCAGCTGGGGAGAGAAAGCTTTGAATTTCCTCTCCCCCCATACTGCGCTGCTGATGACTATCCCCACAACCTGGCATTTTATTTTTCCAAACTGCAGTGGCACGGTTGCCAATCAAAGCATTAACATAATGTGCAGTTAGGCCCTTGTGAGGCACTGTGTAGCAGCTGCCCAAAATAAATTGTTTAAAAGGCAGCAGTTAGGTGGCATGGTTTTTTTCATGCAAAAGGGTTCAATTGCCAACTAGGGGTGGGGAAAGATTGTCGCCTGAAACTCTGGGAAGCTTGCTGCCAGTCAGTGTAGGCAGCACTGGGCTAGATCTGACTTGGTTCAAAGCAACACCCTAGGCTCCCTCTCTCCTGTGTTTCCTGATTTCAGCCATTTTGTTTATTACTGAATCCAGCTTTCTACCGTATTTTCCGCTCCAAAAGACTCACCAGACCATAAGGCGCACCTAGTTTTGGGAGGAGGAAAACAAGAAAAAATTAGAATCCCGGAAGCCAGAACAGCAAGAGGGCTCTGGCTTCTGGGATACCGTGTGGCTCTTCTGGCTTCTGGGATAACCGCGCCAAGCCTCTTCAGGGCAGCGGGATGAAGGCTCCCCCTGCCCGAAGAGGCTGCGCACGGCTAAGGCAGAAGCCAGGACAGGCGCGTTGCTGAAGGGGCACTGCGCAGTTCTCCCTCTCTGAGAGGGAGAACTGCGCAGCGCCCCTTAAGTGAAGCGGGAGGAGGAACAGAGCCCCTTCTGTTCCTCCTCCCGCTTCGCAGGACAGGCGCTGCACAGAGAGGGAGAGCTGTGCAGCGCCCCTTCAGCGAAGTGGGAGGAGGAACAGAAGGGGCTCTGTTCCTCCTCCCGCTTCGCTGAAGGGGCACTGCGCAGCTCTACCTCTCTGCGCAGCGCCATTCCCTCCATAAGACGCACTCACATTTCCCCTTACTTTTTAGGAGGAAAAAAGTGCGCCTTATGGAGCAGAAAATATGGTATATAGTGGCTTCCTCCCCACCCCTTTTTGTAGCAACTCCGATTTAGTAACCACATCCAGATATATATTTTTTTACTGCCAATTTAATGTGAGCTGTTCCGGTTTCCCCCTCCTCATTTCGGCTTCTTCCTCTTCCCAAGACGTTTAGAATCAAACCTCCGCTGTGCATCACTAAGGAAGACGCAGACTTCGCCCTGGGCGTTTTCCATGCCGCTTTAACAAGACACAGGGAAAGAACAGCAAAGGCAAAATAAGCGCCCCATTCACGCAGCTGGCAAATTGCAACCGGTTGACACGTTTACCATAGCAGCCCATTTGCTGCCCCAGCTTGTGCCACCTGAAGACTTGGTAGTTGCAGCAAACCTCCTGAGCAACAAGATTTACGGTTTGTATAAATCATCAGATGACCCAGTTTTTTTGGTCTTTCAATTTCCTTAAACGTATGTCAAGCTGCTTTGGTTTTATTTGAGATTCCCTGTGCTTTATAGATATATTTGTAAAGATACCTTAGTAAAGAAATGAAATAGTAATGCTGCTACCAGTGCCTAGAATGTGAGTGACAGCTGCCCTTCTTTAAGCAGCTGGGGGGCATCCAATTGGCACCTGCCCATTGGGGTCCCCATTCATTTTGTGGATTCAAGCAGTGCCTGTGTGGCTTCCCGCTCAGAAGCTGGGCAGCCAATGGTTTTAACACCCAGATGTTTTGAACCCCCATCAGCTGGCAGGAGTTCCTAGTCTAAAACCTCTGGGGTGCACCAGGCTGGCAGAAGCAAATTTTAAACTGTAAATGGCATGGTTGGGACTCACCCCCATGTTGCAATAGCTACATCAGGACCAGAATTCACTTTTCCACCTGTCTTATTATTTTAGCCTAGTTCTGAATGGTGTACAATGGTACCTCGGCTTAAGTACTTAATTCGTTCTGGAGGTCCGTTCTTAACCTGAAACTGTTCTTAACCTGAAGCACCACTTTAGCTAATGGGGCCTCCTGCTGCCACTGCACGATTTCTGTTCTCATCCTGAAGCAAAGTTCTTAACCCGAGGTACTATTTCTGGGTTAACTGAGTCTGTAACCTGAAGCGTATGTAACCCGAGGTACCACTGTATAAGGACGGGGGAGTCAAGGAAATGCTTTGAACAGCATGCACTAAAAATAAACTGCAGTGTACAGTAAAATAATTTATTGCTTCTTCCTGTACATGGCTTTCCTTACAAGTAAGGAAGATCCTCTTTGTATGAATGGTGTAGCTGTGCTTTTTTTTGGGGGGGGGAGGTGTTATAAAATGTTAGCGCAATTGAGGCATCGATTTTAAAGGAGGACTGGGTTTTTTTGTGGGGGCAGAACACCCAACAACATGGAACAATTTAAACAATGCGCTAGCACAGTGTTACGGGGCTAGGTGTTTCTGACCCTGTTTAATTCATGGTGCCAATCCTGCGCCTCCTTGGGGTAAGCGAGGGGCCTTTGCCACGGTGGCCCTTTAAACCAGTCAGGAGTTCCTCTCGCACATCTCAGAAAGTCCTGTTATCTGTTCCGCCTCTTTTCCTTTTTGCTCCTGCTGCTGTTGCTGACGGCTCCGTTCATGGCTGGCGCTTGGACTGCTTTGGCGTGGCCTGTAGCTTTTAAATGTTCGAAGAGCTTATTCCGCGACTGGAACTCGCAGCTGCAGGTAACGCACTGGAGGGAAGCTTCGTGCTGGCAGTGGGGGAGAAGAAGATTTGTGAGCCGCCTTTGCCTGCAAACAGCACAAACATTTACCGTATTTTTCGCTCCATAGGACGCACTTTTTCCCTCTTAAAAACTAAGGGGAAAACTCTGTGCGTCCTATGGAGCTAATGCAGGGGGGAGGCAGGCAGGAAAAGCCCCCAAGAGCCGCACACAAGCTTCGTGCGGCTCTTGCGGGCTTTTCTCCAGGAGGGAGAAGGGACTGAAGTGGCCAGTCCCTTCTCCCTCCTCGTAGAAAAGCCCGCAGGAGCCACGCACTCCTTAAAGGGTGCGCGGCTCCTGTGGGCTTTTGCGGGAGGTGGGGGGATTGCTATAGCCGCGCGCAGCCTCTCCAGCCAGAGAGGCTGCACAAGGCTAAAGAAGCCATGGCTGCGAGAGCGATCCATCCCGCTCACTGTTTTGGCTTCTTTAGCCTTGCGCAGCCTATCCTGGCTGGAAAGGTTGCGCCCGGCTATGGCAGAAGCCAAGGCAGCGAGCGGGATGGATCCCGCTCACTATCTTGGCTTCTTTGCTCTTTGGGGGGGGGGGACCCGGGCTTCCCCCGCAGCCCCGAGAAGCTCTGGGAGAAGCTTCCCCCTCTAAAAACTAGGTGTGTCCTGTGGTCCGGTGCGTCCTATAGAGCGAAAAATACAGTAAGTTCACCTTACAGGGGCAGAGCCACAGCACATATTTAGAGCACATGACTTCCTCCAAAGAATCATGGGAAAGCTCGTTCTCCCATGGCAGGCCTACAATGCCTTGTATTCTTAAACTACAGTTGCCAGGATTTTTTTGGGACTACAAATTCCCATCATCCCTGACCACCGGGTCTGTTAGCTATGGATGATGGGAGTTGTAGTCCCAAAACATCTGGAGGGCCAAGTTTCCCCTATGCCTGTCTTAACCCTTATCTCACACAGAAGTGGGGTGGACCTTCTCACAAGGGAGCTTCCCTTCTCCCAGCCTCCTGCCCTGGGAGATCTTGCCTTCCCTTCTCACACAGCTTGGGGCTGACAAAGGTGGTAAAAAAAGATGCACATCTAAAGCGCTTCTACATACCATTGCTTGATGCTCTGAAGATCCTCTTGCAGCAGAGCTTTTCTTTGTGTCTTTCGTTTTCTTCCCTTTTGCTTTCATATTGCTAGAAGAAAAAGAGGCGGCATTTTCTTCCCCTGCACTGCCATCTCTGAGCACCCTGGTCAGCCACTCTTTGAGTTCAGTGGCACAGATGGAAGCTAAATTAACAGGATTCAAGGACTTTGAAACTAGCATTAAAAAAAATAATCCTTTGCAGAATGTTCTTAAAAATGATCCCATTATACCAGGGGATAGAGCACCAGCAACTCTCTAGCCCAGTGGCTCCCAAACCTTTTTTTGGGCCCACCAACCCATTGTTTCCATACTCATCGCCAGTGCCCCCCACCCTATAGAAAAAACTATTCATTTCATGGCTAACTAAGGAAGGTAACACCACAATAAAATTCAAAATAATGACGATTACTTGCACATTCACTCAAAATCCAATTAATAAAACTAAATAGTTTTATTAACTGAACAAAACTGATTACCTTAACATCTGTGGAATGCTCTCCCCAGAGAGGCTCACCTGACACCATCATTAAACATTCTTCTTTAATGCCTTTGGCCATTAAATAATCTACGGCCTATTGAAGCTAGTGTATGTGTGTGGGTGGAGGGAACTGTTATGATTATGTTGTCTATTATTATGCTCTGTATTTTGCTTTTATTTTTATGCCCAGCAACATGTATTCTTAATGTTGTACCTGGAATCTTTTGATAAAGGGCAATATATAAATGGAATAAATAATAACAGCAGCACATACTTTTTGAAGTCTGATAGTCATTTTACACCTTCCGTGCTCCTTGTAGGCATGTCCAAAGTCAGTTTCGCAGGTCTAATTTGGCCCCTGTGGCAGTTTAGTTCCTGGGGTAAAATCCTTAAGAAAGCTCAACAACTCTGGTCGGCCCTCACTTTATCAAATCTGCCCCTCTTTGAAAAAACTTTGGATACCCCTGCAAGGGGCTACACTGCCCACTTTGGGAACCAATGCCCTGGATATCATCAGGCTATACCCCCTCACACCATTCCTGAACGCCGGCCTTGCTGGTAGGAGCTGATGGGAAAAGGAGTCCCAACAACATCCAGCTTTTCCATGCACCTGTATGATTTAAATTGCACCACAAAGGATTCAAACCGCATTGCAGACTGCTGCATCCAGCATCCCCACAACTTTAAACACTTACCTTTTCACCTCTGCTTTGGGCTCTGTGGTGGGCTCTGCAGTTTCCCCAGCACTTGCATCTTCCAGGTTGTGGCTTTGGCTGACGTTTCCCGCTTCGTCAGTCTCGCTGCTCTGCTTGGTGCTACCGGCCTGTGTAGACGACTCCGCTGGGGGCTCCCCTGGGCTTCTGTCGCTGGGAGGGTCTTCCTGCGCCTGTTTGAATAAGAGAAGCATACGTGACACCCAAGAGACGCCACAGTGCAGACACACCAGAGAAATCCATATTCTAAGATATAGGCAGGATCTACATTGATCTGTAAAAACGTTATTAAATTTAACGTTATGTAACTCAATGCAGTTTTCCATTGTCGAAGGCTGACTGCTCTACAGCGCCATCTAGTGTCACATTTTAATAATGTGCTTTTAACGTTATAAGCGACCAGTGTAGATCCATCCCTGGAGCGGTGACAGGAAAACCTGTGGCCCCCCTAGCTCAGACCAAGGGCCTCATTCCCTCCCGACTAACTGTCTTGGAGCCACCTGCCAGAGGCAAAAGTGAGCAGAGCAATAAATGTGAAATGTTACCGTTGTACAAAAGGCAATTTTCCCACCCGCACTCATTACTCTCTAGCCCAGGCAAGTAGGAGGCACAGAGTCCAATGACACATTCCAGCTAGGCAAAAACACTCAAGGAGGGTGAAAAGTAGGACTGGTGTGGGGTGTGACTCAGGAAGGCATGCAGCTGGGGACCAGATACGAGATTCCTGGGGAAGCCACAGGCCTGAGGTTCTCCCAGCTGTGTTCTAGATGCTGCTGGGGTATAGGGTGATAGGGCAGGGGTAGTACCTGTGGTCTCCACCCTGCACTCAGCTCTCACCTGTAGCTCCCAGAGCAGCGGTTCTCAACCTGTGGGTCCCCAGATGTTGTTGGACTACAACTCCCATCATCCCTGAGCTCTGGCCTTGCTAGCTAGGGGTGATGGGAGTTGTAGGTCAACAACATCTGGGGACCCACAGGCCGAGAAAGGCTGTCCTAGAGGCTGTCAACATGCGACAGCAGCCACACTCTGAGAAACACTTTTGACTGGCCAGCAGCAAGTCTATCAGGGCACAATCTACTGAGGATTCAGGCCAACCACAAATGCAGGCTTGCCAGAAACACGAGGGTTCAGAACTGGTTCTGCAATCAACTTCTCCTAGGGAACGCTGGGAAGCCAAGGGACCCCTTAACAGAACTCCAATTCCCATCATTCTTTGCAGGAAGAAAGCACTGCTGCAAGGTTACTCCCTTATCTGCCCCAAGTGAATCACCCTTCCCTGAACCAACACTCCTCTCATCTGAGAAACCAGGAGCTGCAGTCAGAAGGGAAAGGAGAGGGTGGGTCACCTCCATGGCTATTTAAACACACCAGGGAAGGAGCAGGGCAGAAGGGAGAGCAGCCAGGAGCAGCAGGGACCTTAGGAAACTGAACTCTGGATACAGAGAGGCCCCAATGCAAGCCATTCCTTTAACCTAGGAATGATGGAACTACGGTTCCCATTTTTTCCTCCTTAAAAGAGGGCTCTGCTTCGTTCCTGCCTGCCCTCTGGTGGACACTGGTGGGAGTGCAGCAACTTGAAGTCACCTGGCAGCCAAAGGGGTTTTACTACAGCCCTGGCCCGTCCGCTCCCCCTCTTCAATTGTGGTCCTCACTGGCTTAAGGGGCCTCAAAAGATGACCCCCCCCACAGGGAATTGACGGCCCCCCCAGCCCCAGGGTTGGATGCTCTCAAGGCCCAGTTTTCATCATGTGTTAAGAGCCATAATGAGAGAAATGGTTGTAGCGAGGATATCATTCAGGTTGCCTTCAACTGCAGATCTACTAACAGAAGCCAACGTAAGAATATAAGAGCCTAAGAATATAAGAGGAGTGTCGTTGGACAAGATGGACCATTGGCCTGATCAAGCAGATCCTTCTTATGTTCTCATGTACTCATAGCCTTAGCCGTTTCCTATTGTGAAAGCCAATGTGGTACAGCACTTAAAAGAGTG